TTGTTAGCCCGATCCGGTGACATCAGCAGTACGGCTCGTCAGCTGGAGCCGGTCGTGGGTGCCCTACAAATTAGTAAACCGGCACATAAAAAATGCAGTGCATGACACTTCAACTTCACGTCTTAGAGGTCTTCTTTTTTGGTTTGGTGTTTATTGACACTTCAAAGCCTTAGCTATGTATAACGTACACGTAGAATAGTAATGCGGACATCCGCATACGAATAGAGCCCCACCTAAGATTAGGATTATAATTATTTATATCATTATAGATAAGAAAAAAATAGTCAGACGAAGAAGTAAGCAGACTAAAGATCGCCCAGTGAAGACGTACGTATCTGATCTCGTAAATTGTAATTTTGTAAATTAAAATTGTAAAGTTTTTCGTTTAAAGTATAGTTAAGTTTTATAGTTTAAGTTTATAGTTATAGTTAAGTCTGTGAAGGCAAGTAGTTCACGATTAACAGCTCAGGACTAAAATAAAACAGGTACAAATCCTTGAAACCCTTTTCAGCCGTATCGTATAGTAACATAATAACAGTTATGTTGCAAACAGAAGTTCGGGCCCCACTGATATTTTTTTTGTAATAAGTAATAAATTTAATAAAAATAGGGATGTTACTGAAGTTTAATAGATTGGGAGTTTACTTATGAAACCAAAACAGCTAGGTGGAAATTAAAATATATAATCCCTCCATACCTCAATAAAACCTGTAAGTTCTAAGGAAGAAACAATTTAGTGGCCAAAGTTAGTGTAACTCGAAACCGACAAAAGATGGATTCTGAGCTGTGTCCTAGTAAAATGTAGGGTTGAAATGATTAAATGTTTGCGTTTTATGCCAGTAACCATTTTGTTTTTAACCCTTTGGAGACGGAGCCTTTTTAGAGTTGGGTGCCAAGAAGACGGATCTTTCAGGTGGGGTGGGGAAAGGGAGGGGGGGGGGAAGAGGGGAACTCATAGTTTAAACCACGCCCATCTCTAATTATTCAAGTCACTCTTTGCCTGTTTACTAATTGTTGACTAACAGTATAATTATATGTTGTAGCAGTACACTAATAATATTAATCCTTAACCATTTGACTTATGCTTTGCGAACACTGGCTGTAAACTCTTGCGGAAACTTCTGGTAGTTAATCGACTTCTTTTGCATACTTGCAGTTGAACGGTCTGTTAATTTTTGTAAACTGGCTTTTGCTTTGCTTCACGAACACTGGCTGTAATCTCTTGCGGAAACTTCTGGTAGTTAATCGACTTCTTTTGCATATTTGCAGTTCTACGGTCTGTTAATTTTTGTAAACTGGCTTTTGCTTTGCTTCGCGAACACTGGCTGTAAACTCTTGCGGAAACTTCTGGTAGTTAATCGACTTCTTTTGCATATTTGAAGTTGTACGGTCTGTTTATTTTTGTAAACTGGCTTTTGCTTTGCTTCACGAACACTGGCTGTAAACTCTTGCAGAAACTTCTGGTTGTTCATCGACTTCTTTTGCATATTTGCAGTTCTACGGCCTGTTAATTTTTGTAAACTGGCTTTTGCTTTGCTTCGCAAACACTGGCTGAAAACTCTTGCGGAAACTTCTGGTAGTTAATCGACTTCTTTCGCATATTTGCAGTTCTACGGTCTGTTAATTTTTGTAAACTGGCTTTTGCTTTGCTTTGTGAACACTGGCTGTAAACTCTTGCGGAAACTTCTGGTTGTTCATCCACTTCCTATGCATATTTGTTACCAAAAAACTCGCAATGGTAAGGAATTGATTTAATCCAACAAGATGAAACTGGACAAATTTGTTTGTGCTGTTTGTACCTTGAGGATACATATTTAGTAGTGCTATAAGTACTGTTAAGAAAACTACTCTGGGTGAAAAAAGTATTGCACATATCAATTTTATACTGATTGTGCTTGTTTACTAATGATTAAATCACAGTAAAATTATATGTTGTAGTAGTCTACTAATAATAATAATAACCATCAATTATTTATGTTATGTATGATATGTGTATGTTTCATAGCAGTATTTTTATGCGCTAAATTTGATAAAGTACAAATGTCACCCCTCCCCTCCCCTCTCCCACCCCCCTCCCGCTCCTCTGATGCAACAATACCCTCTCAGAATCAAAGAGTTACTTATATTTCTTTACTTTTGCTGGAACAACTTTTAGTTTTCATCTAAATTTTATTGATGTTTATGTTCATGTTGACTGTAGCAAAAGCATTTTTGTTTGTCTGTAAGAGCCTTTATTGTTATATTTATTCGGCACACTTATTTATCATAAAAATGACGTATAGTTCTAAAAAATATGTCAAAAATTAATGAAACTGTAGTTTAATTTGCGTATACATCTCCTCGATAAAAACTGTGGACGCAGAGGGACTCAATTCTTGCACAAGAAGGGAATTCCTGTTCGAGCTGTACGGCCTTATAAAAATCTGGAGCTGGCCGTGGTTTAAACACACACAAAATAATAAAAAGTAAAGCATTTAATTAACATATACAAAACTATACATATTTGTATAGGAAATTTAATGACCTAACAGAATGTTTATGAATCAAACTAAAATCTCAACATTTATTCAAATTAACTATTCTGATTTGTATAATTTATTCAAGCAATTTTTTTAAAAAACTTGGAAACAAACATAACTAACCTGGAAAATGTTGGTGAATTTTTGTATGGATGAAGCTCAAAAAAGTTGAACACCTGTATTTTGGGAAATTAGGCCCTTGGAGGCTTTTTAGACACGTCTGGCACATAGTTCTACTAATTTTTTCCTGCCTCCAGCTATGTTTTGGTTGCTATGATGCAACAGTCCTTCTCGCCATTTTTGGGCACAGGTAACCCCATAAAAAAATAGATGTAAAATTACAGAAAACATCAAACTTTCTCGAAAGCCGTCAATGAACAGCCCACATGTGCAAGAAATGCGAGAAGCAGTCTGATTGGCTGGTGCAAAAACCTGCCAGCTAATATCAAGGCTTCTATTATATAGGGCTGACAGATCGGCCCTGTCGGCCTTCTGGCTACTTTATGTTGGGCTAATATTTCGGCCGCGTCGTCTCCAAAGGGTTAAATTAATCCCTTAGCTACTGTATTTCATTGCAACGGGGCAGTGAGGCCTAACTGTATATGCATTTCTTAAATATGTATGACACAATATGGGCCTAATTAACACTTAAAAATGGCTGCCAGCTCACTATTTTTAAGTAAACACCATATAAATTAATAGTTATCTGCCAACAAGCCTGACAAAATGAATACCGTATTGTTCAGAGTGATGAGGCAGATATATGGATCTCACTTGTTTTAAGTAGGCACTTTATGGATTCATGTTTAAAACAGGTTAAAAGTTGAAAATAAAAATAAAAATCGACTTCATCACATTTTGTTTTTTCCTATATGGCTCGATTTTTAAGTAAACACCATATACATTTATAGTTATCTGCCAACGAGTCTGGAAAAATGTATTCTTTATTGTGCAGCGTGATGAGGCAGATATATGGGTCACAAAGAAATACAGATATTAAGCATTGTTATCTAATTAATATTTAAAAAAATGGCTACCACCTAACTTGTTTTAAGTAGGCACTTGATGGATTCATGTTCAAAACAGGTTAAAGGTAAAATAAATTTAAAAAAAAATCCACTTCATCACATTTGGTTTTACCCTGTATGGCTCGATTTTTCTCTGCATACTGGCTAGCCACCTGCCAAGAACGTTGCACAAATCACAACCTTCGTAGCTCCAGCAATGATTCCCACTGAACCTATAACTTTCAAACCATTTGGCAAATGCACATGGTGTAACAAAAAAGCTACTGTGTGTTCTGCTTTTAGTTTTACTCTTTAGTTGTAACTTGTTTGTAAACATTTTAATGGGCCAGTGTGTTCAGATGCTATCAAGCTTATAATATTTAGAATTTACATGCTGTATAAATGTGATGTTTTAAAAATTTGTTATACATTATCACTGCTAATGTGTAAATCTAAGGATTAGCTACTTTTGTGGGTGAGTATGTACTGTTTATAAATAAGAACGGATGCCTGAAAAAAATGCTACAATGGTTTTGGATATATCCAAAAAATAAATTATGTATCCTAAATACTGAAGTAATCAATTTAAGTAAGCTACTGAATAGCCACACAAAAAAAGTTCCGCAAATGTGACTATAATAATCATGAATGTAATACCATAGATGTTTGGGAAAACAATATTTAAAATGTTTTAAATCACATCACATTATACAATAACATCATGAATCACTTTTTAAATTCTTTGTAGAAATCTTCTTCTTCTTTGCATTCACCGGCTGTAAACTCTGGAAGAAGGTTTTGGTTGTTCGTCCACCTCTGGACATTAGTCTTGTTCCAGAACCTGAGTGTTGCATGCACATCCATTTTACAGATCTGACATACTTGTGTGCAGATTGTTGGTATTTTAATCTTCCTAATTTAAGAGACACTGATAAATTTGTGCACTTACAAATGCAAGTCGGAAACGCCATGCATGTGGTTTCACAGTTAGACATCAGTTAAATAACTCCTAATACTAATATCCGTATTTAAAGTTCAGTAAAGTGTACAAAATATATGCAGCAAATTCACTGAGAAACAGAAGATCACATGTATTGGTCATCCAGTAAGAATACAGTCAGAACAACTACCAACGCAGGCACTACACATGAAAAAAATCCAAAGTAAAAGCAAGAGGTTACTCTAGGAGAACATGGATTGATGACATTAAAGAGCTTCTCCATGGACATAGAAAGGCATTTCACATTGCTGCAGATTAAACAATGTATGGCAAAATGTTCCTTCCCACAGTGCTTATTTCCACAAGTGGAATTTGATGATGATTGTGTTTGTTCTTGTATTCAGTTAATGGAATCCTTTGGTGTTCATATTACTATCACTCTAGTAAATAATATAATGTAATGAGTTTCCTGTTTTTAATTCTTTACTTAACTATGGTTCATTTGATTTTGGTAACAGTGATCTCCGGAGCAGCATGGTAAATAATGTTAATGGTCAGCGCCAGATAAAACACAGACCCTCAAAAATGCAGAATGGGGCTGGCATTGGCAAATACTGGCAGGAAAATAACCAGATAGATGACAAAGTCACAGACAGCAATGAAGATTCCCATTCACTACAAAGCTTGAATTTTGAAGACTTGAAAACAACCCGTCAGCTCCTATCAACCATTCGTATACGTCGCAAAAATGGAAAAAGTGATGGTAAATCTCCATCTGATGTGGAGGATCACATGAATGAAATCAGCACTGACAGTGATGAAGAGTATGGCCTGCCAAGTACGAGACATAAAATAAAAAGTCTGACGGAAAGACTTCTTGTGGCCAGACAGCAACAGTCAACATCAGAAGTTGCTAACCATTATAGGTAATGTAGAGTCTTTTTATTTATAATTTGAAACTTATATTTCAAAACAAGTATTATAGATATAAAATGTAATTATTTTACAATATTTGTAGTATCTTTCCATCACAAAAATGCTGTCTACCTTGAAGGAAACTGATCTCCAGATTATATCACATCTGTAATCCTGCACTTCGGAAGCTGAAATATTTTGGTCATATCAAGCGCCACGACGGATTAGAAAAAAATTATAGCAGAAGGCATGGTGCCAGGAAGAATAGGCAGGGGCCGACCGACACGAAGATGGGCACAGGATATAAGTGACTCCTTGAATATGAAAGTACATGAGGCGGGAGACCGAGTTTCATTCCGTGATGAGAGCAACGTTCTGCAAAGGACCTTCTACATGATGAAGATAAATCCTGCACTTACCAAAAATGTGTAATGCATTGCACTTCAGTCAGTATTGTATGGTAAGCCATACCACAAAAATATAAATAGAAATAACCAAGATGAGACTTAATATTAAGGCAGATTCAGTGTAACATGAAAACAATGACTTTTAACTGAAAGAAGCAACATCAGTAGAATGTAAATATATTGATTGAAAGTTCAGATTGCACACAAAAGTGTCCATTAAAAAAATGCACACAAATTTCACAAGGAGATCTTAAAGTGACGCTAATCAAAGCTGGACAAAACAGAAGGATTATAAAGCAAACTGAGATTTCTTACCAGATTCACTGGTAGTTTTACATATTTGGCATGCATATGAATGTGGTTAAAAAAAAGGATTATTAATGCCAACACAACTCCAAAAACATGGTTAAGGTACTTGGCTTTGAATTCTCTCGAAAAACTTTTGATGTTAACTTTTGCTTGATGTACTGATGTTCTGTCATATAAGACACACAAAAACAAAAAAACGGCTTGCATCTACCAGAGTGAAGTTGGCATAGACTTTTCTCCCAACTTAGTGCTAAAATATTTCTATGAAGTGAGGACTTTGTTGCAAAGCTTTCCTTTAACTTTCCAAGCAAAGAAACCAGTAATATATGCAAGATTGATTCTGGAGCTTCATGTCTAAATGAGAAGTATGGGGATCTTTGGGTTACCTACCAGACTGGAGTTTTGATCTGTTCATATATTATACTACAGTCAGGCGCCCTAAAATTTTAGATAGTATGAGGCAGCACAAGTAAAAATTATCAGACCCTAGTATAAATATACTTCAGAGAGAATTATCAGAAAAGTACCAATGTTTTCACATCTGAGCCAAATAATTAAAATGGATGCATGGCTTAAATCTAATATAAATCTGGATTGCTGTATTTAAAAAGTGTTTTACATGCAAATTCATAGAGCCCACCTGATGATCTGATCTGAGTGTACACAGCCAAACACAAATAAGAAGAAGCATTCATGAAAACAAAAAATCATTTCCATTAGCATCAGTACTGAGCTCAAAAAGTAAAAATCACTTAGGATAACTGGTATGTTGGCAATATGTTACTTGTTTCCACAAGGAAAGCAAAGCCTAGCAACACTAACTTTCTGAACATGCTGTAAAAGGTGACTAAGGAGGGTTGCCTGAGACTGGTAACCTTATCACATGGACAACTTTAACTGTAAAATTCACCCATCTATGAGCAAGTTCACACAAGATTTGCTGTATGCTTTAAAGGTAGACAGAAGGGTGATGGGGCTAATTTCAGTTTGTTTGTTGTGTTCTGTCCTAGTATGATATAGGTTTATCCATTTAGCTCGACCAAGACAGTGGTGTTCTTAAATTCAGTTTGAACGTTTTTTTTCTTTGCATGGAGTATGGCTGTTCTCTTTTAGACTTTTTGTGCTTCTTCAGCTGTTTAAATTCCAAGTATGCCACAGTGAACTTGTATTCATTATAATGGTACTACCCTTTTCTTAGTTATTACTTCATTTATGATTTTCATTTCCTTCTGGAATTTTGTCATTGTTGAAAGCTTGCAGAACTATCATTATCTTAGAAATAACTGCTTTCAAGCTGATATAATAAAAAAAAAAAAAAAAAGGTATAGTGAAAGCAAGTGCACACAGAAAAGTGAATGCTCTGCCAACTACTACCCCACCCCAATCATTCTTGACAACATTTTAAAGTTATAACTCCTTCACTGTTCCACTGCAGTACTTGAGTGTTCTTGGTGTTTCATCAAAATAATTTTTATCTCTTCATTTTGTATTTCATTTAATTCCTGATAAACTACCAGCCTCACCTCTTTTCTTTTGTGACCTCGTGATGTTCACTTCTTCATTATTTTGGCAAGTGAATTAAGCATTTAGATATATATTTAGAGTAGATGTTATTTACTGTTCCCTTTTGTTTAACACTTTCATTATTACTGCAGCACTGTGTATTTCATGTAACTTTATGACAAGTTATTTTATTATTCTATGTACATGTGGTGATGAATGGTTTTATTATTCTGTGTACACACGCTAATGATATGTTTTATTTTCCCATAGGAAAGCTGTTTTGTCAGTTCCAGGTAGAAGTCTGCAGCTCTACTCATCAGGTGTTATCAAAGTATGTTGGGCATTCAATAAAATGCCCTTTAGAATAGTATGAAAAGTTACAAACACTAAAAATATTACAATATTAGCATTTCAAAAGACTAAATTATAACATGATAGTTTGACACTGATGGCCAGCTTATATATATATATATATATATATATATAAATATATATGTGTTTGTGTGTGTGTGTGTGTGTGTGTGTGTACACACACACACGCACACACACACAAATGTTAAATAGAACATGTTCTGCAGCGAATCTTCGAATGTCGGTGAACACATTATCAGAAGAATTTGAAAGCAACAGAGATGTAGTTTCTGAGATGAATGTTACAAAACAAATACCTTGGACAGCCAGAGTTACTAACAATGACTATTTGAAAGAAGCTAATGCAACAATAAGAAGGAGACAGATCCTGTTCTTTAGCAACATAATGAGAAGAGAGGTATTGGAAAATATTGTGACAGATCTGTGGAAAGAGAGATAGAGGCAGCCCAAGAGAGATGATGCTGGATAGGCTGAAACAATGGCACAAAGGGATATCATCAAGAGAGCTGTTCCAGGCAACCAGGGATTGTGATCTGTTGAGGCACATGATGATGATGATGTATTAGATGAAAAAATGCACATTTGTTTAAATTCCTGCTAGGTCAAGTACACCTAAACTGTGAAGCAGTACCAGGTTTAAAAGAAAAGACACACATACACAAACATGGGAATCATCTGACAAGAGAACTTAAAATCAAACAGATTATATTTTAATAATTAATAGAATTGCATTAAACATAGAACAGGCTAGAAGCTATAGTGAAGCTTAATCCTATAGCAACTACTTCTCTGGTGTAAAAGTAAAAATAAAGCTCAAGAGATTCTTCTACACTAAGGTCACAGACAGAGTACTATAGAGAAGGAATAAGCAAAGATAAATCTACAGATGAAATAAATATACAATTAAAATCTTATAAAAAAAGCTATCGTAGTGCAGAAGAATGCCTTGATGTGTCAGTCATATGCAGAAAGAACAAAAGGTTAAATCAAATATAAATGTGACTTGAGTTGATTCAAGAACCGACATCACAGCACTTGGGGGCATTCCCATAAGCGCTCCATCCCCATCTTCATCAGCCAGTGAAGAGTTCCAAAACTAATGGTGCCAGTAGCATTCTGATTAAACGTCCGTCTTGTCTTTCCTTTGAGCCTCGAGCATCTGCCAGAACCTCTTGTCACTTCCCACTGCATCAATCTCACCAGACTGTGGTGATCCACTTGCTCCTCCGAACTGTTCACGCTCTCCCACAAGGTACTAACCTCGTCTGCCTTATCATGCATCAGTATTCCACGAAGTTGTGCAGATCTAGCTATTTTGTTCACCTGTTCATTTCCCAGTACACCGGCTTAACCCGGTGAAAAAATCCAGACAATACTCCTCGCCTGTGTCCTCCGCAGTGAAGCATGCCACTGCAGGAAGCATGACTGTTCTGACCGTCCTCAGCATGCTTTCTGAGTCAACTACAATCACGGTGTGTGTGTGTGGTGTTCTGTAACCATCGAAACGCTACAGTGACCGCCTCCACCTCCAATCTTAAGCTGGATGTTGTGGTATCATATGCTAGGTTCTCCAGCACCAAATGTTGACCATTACCTTTTGCTAAGAAGCCCCAAGCACTTCTTTTGCCTCTTGACACTCAACCGTCTGTGTAAATAATCAAATTCCCTGAGCGGGCATTATCATGAATTAATTGCTGAATTTTCACCTCCATGGTACCTGCTGGCCAGGCTCTGCATTCCCGGCTCATTGTGATTATGACCCTACACAAGTCTGACTGTTCAAGGTGGCACTTTGACCCACTCCTCTCCTCGCCTAATATTCTTAAGGATGCAAACCTGTCTGATTGTGTCTTTTGCCTGAGCCATCCATGACTTCCCTCTTATCAGCCTCTGACCCTTAACTGCAACCAAAACTTCGTGCAAAGGGTGTTTATGTGTGCAGCTACATTGAGATATGACTTCGCCTGCAGCACCTTGTGCCTCCCTGCAACAGTCAGCAAACCAAGGATGTATCACATACACCCCACAGGAGTGTCTCTGGTGCAACCAAGAATGACCCGCATTGCTTCATTCTAGTTTGTCCATTAAACTCTTTAAGACGGTAAGCAGTCCCAGGCCATAATCAACCACTGACAGGATCAGGTGCTGATATATGTGAAAAGCATTCTCTGCTCTAGGTCAATTGCAGCCATAGTCTTAAGTGCACTGTCTTTTTTGGCATCTTGTCACAACACTCTCCACATGATCCTTAAAGGACAGGCTCCTGTCAAATGTAATTCCCAGATACTTCAGTTTGCTCTCTCTGTTGACATTTCTACCAGCTATCGAGAGACTTGGGACATTAGCTCTAATGATCCTGTTGTCCAGAGAACACCACAAAACAGACCTCCTTTCCAGGTGAATGACAGCCTCTATTTCTGTACACCACTTTGTCTACTGGTAGTCTGGTGGTCTGGTAGTCTTAGTTTCAGCTTCATAGCAAACGGGTCACCCCATCTTTGCTCCACTCCTGTGCTAATGAAAAACACACAGAATGTTTATCACAGTCCCTTGTGGAAAGATTGACAGACTGCTGTCTCAGCATATCTAGCATACACCTGCATTAAAGCATACGGTAGCTATCCGAAGTGCTAACACCAAAAGTCTGACTTTAGAAGTGCAGTTCATCATTGATGGTAACAGAAGTCACCAACAGATCAGCAGTTGCCCAAGCGATCAATTTTAATCACACACCATAACCACCAACATTGTGACTGCAGGCATTGCGGTCACGCCATTTTCTGAATCTACAATTCACACCACCATGTTGGTCACAGTTGAAAAAATATTCCAAATGAAATCCGCAGCTCACAGTGTCATGCTATGCATTCAACTCAGAAGCTGGGCGACGAAGTATATCCAGTCTACAAATGGAGCAAAAAGGCACAGGCCACCGTCCGGCAGAAACAAAAAATTTGCCTCGGCTCTAAACAGTGCCCATGCCTAGCGTCCATTTTGACCGGAAGCTTGTAGCTCCCAGCTGTTTGTTCCCTCTCTTCCGCCTGCCTGTATGCAAGTATATCATCTGCAAAAGTAAGTATCCTTCCAACTCCTAGGGCTTCTAGGCTTGCAATCTTGCTCGCATACACATTAAAGAGCATAGGCGAAATGGGGGATCCCTGTGGCAGTCCTGGGGCCAAACTGCATGGTTCTAAAGTCCATGAGCCCAGTCGGAGAGCAACCCGACATGAATACAGGACAGCTGCAACCCAATTCACGAGCCATGGACTGACCTCCTTCTCCTTCAGTGCAGTCATCAAGACGTCATATTTCCTGGCCTGTAGCTTCCCAGACCTCTTAGGAGAAGCTTCCCCCTTTCCAAAAATTCTTGCAGCTTTACAGCAACTATCTTCTCCAAGACCTTCCCAAATGTGTTTTGTAAGGTGATGATTCTAAAGCCACTGACCTTTGAATGATCCTTAAAAGGTTTGGCAGTGGGATAAAAATGTGAAGAAGACACTATTAAAAACCTTCTGGTCAAACTGTGATTAATTAATACCTAATTTAAAAAAAATAATTGCAATGAAACTATATAACAGAATGTAAAGAAGCTACAAAAAAAAAGCTAGGCGTCACAATCTAGAATACATGAGCAGTATGGTAAAAGATATGGAAACTAACCACCAGAACAATAAATATTAAATTGTGAAACTCCAGTAAATACTTACCCACATGAAGAGATACTACTAACTTGTGAACTAAATTTGAAGAGCCAGATTTAGAAGAATAATGTATGACAAAATACAGTTTAGATAATAGTAAGGCAACTGGTAGAACTGCAGGTGAATTTATAAAAGAAAGTTTTCATACATTACATTAAAATAAATACAAATTAATTGAACAGGTTTGGTGGTCAGAACTGTTAAAACAGAGGAATGATGGTTTAAGAGCCTTATAACGAATATCCATAAAAGAAAAAAAATGCATTCCAGAATGTAATCTACAAATAAGGTTATGCCCTACATAATTTGCTAAAATCAGATGCTCTATCTTGTACCAAGATCACAATATATATAATAATTTTAACTTTCTCTGCAATTAAGATTAAGCTTTAAACAATTTATATTTTAACAGTGTTTTCCAAATTGTCAACTCTCGCAGTTTTTCATAATTTTTTCTTCCCTGTGTGTCATTTCTTAGAGTGATCCCTAGATGTGCCTTTATGTTACCATTTTTTTTTCAGAGACTCAAAACTGTGTCTGATACAGCCTCGGACATCTGGTATCGTCTTAACTTTTGGAGTCAACAGTTTAAGGAAATTGAAGGTGATTATTTGATACTGACAGCCCAATTCTCCTGTTTTCATCATGACCAGCTTATCAGCTCCTCTGCGTCCTGTCAGGTTATTCCTTCATGTTAAGATACTGGCGCAGTCAGGTATATTAGTTAAATACTGTTAAAAGCAGACCTCTTACATGTTTACATGCAAGGATTTCGTCTCAGTAAATATTTCAAGCATTAGAAGCAGCAATGCAAGTTATGTTTTGAAAACTATGAAGTCAAAAAGTACTGTTAAATTATATGATCACACCGAAGTCCTCACCTTTTCATTCTGGAGTGGAGAATAGTCGCGGGCCACTGGCCTGAACTCCAGCATAAAAGGATAATTAATACAATACAACTGACAATGTTCCAAGGGTCACTTGCTAGGCCTCTACAGGCCAGATTTGGCCCACAGGCCGCCAGTTGAATAGCCCTGTTATAGGGCCTGCAGCCAGAAATTCACCACCTTTGTTTAAAAGGAAGAAACAGAAAATGATTCTGAATTTGAAACCACAGATGTGGCTAAAATGTGTACAGGGCATAACACATTTTTGTTTTTCAGATTTAAACAATTAAAAAAAATTGTAATTAAGAGTTCAGAGGAAAATAAATTGTGCATAAGATAATAGGTTGCCTTAAACCATAATTGATTGCCACCAGCAAGGGCCTTTTAATACAGAATACAACTGATAAATAATAAAATATGTAGCCAAGAGGCACACGAAAAATGAGGTAAAATAGTTTAACCCCATCTGAGTTAGAAGGTAACACTTTACAATTTGGAGTGTATATTTTATATGGAATAAAAACTGATATCTGCAAGAATACATCAATTTGTAAAACATTACCTGGTTATTAAGGAGAAAGACACTGACAAGATCCAAACCAGAAAAACTGACTTGTAAACAGCTTCATGTGTCGGAAACTGAATGTTTCCCATTACAGTGCTTAAGAAAGAACGGTACTGCAGAATAAGATACAAGCATTTATGTGCATGAAGGTCTTCCCTTTTTGCCTTTTATAAATTTACAGCAAGTCTATTTGTTATTTAGTGCAACTCCTTCGTTATTTCCTGTTTTATTCACCTCTGTTCCTTTCTGTTTTTTTTTTTTTAAGTCCCTCTTCAATTTTGTGGAATTGGGCTTTCCATGGCAAAGATATTCTAATTATATTAATGTCCGAGTTTCTCATTGTTCTTTTGGGTGACAATTTCTTCGCTTTATATATTACTTAATACATGGGTTAGTGAATTAATTCAACTGTTTTGCAAATAAAAGTCATGTCTGTACATGAAACATAAATGCATGAAATGATGCATATAACTGTAACGGAAAGTGAGAACAAGGGTCGCAATTTGAAAAACAGAAGTAATGGTTAATTACAAAGAAAACTGACCATCCAAAATGCAACATCAAAGTAATTGGGAAAACCTCAAGCAAATTTTTTTGTTTAAATACGTGGGTACCTTGATAACATCAGATCCAAGATGTAATCCAAGATGTATTAAAGAAATTTAAAGTCGAATAGCTCAAGCAAAGGCAGAATTTTACAAAATCAAGAATATTTTATGCAATCTTTATTTGTCAATTGAGGCGAGAAAGATAATTTTAAAAATCTATATAAATCTATATAAATCCTTTCTTAATATACGAAAGTTCATCATTGACAGTTGCTAGATTAGTGAAAGAATTGGAATCTGTGGAGATGTAGTTTTATAGATAAATGATGAGAATATCCTGGACAGATAAAAAGAGTAATGAGGATGTCTTGAAAGAAACTGACTAGTGAAGAGAACTTATTGTCCACACCAGAAAAAGACAATCTACATTCTTTGGTCATGTGATGAAGAGGAGAAAACTAAAGTTCATCATGACAGTTGGAAATTTTAATGGGAGGAGAATGTTGAATGTTGAATTACGAATTGACATCATAGCACTCGGGACACTCCCACAAGCGCAAAGAGTTCATATTCCAATGGCATCAGTAACTCTCTGATTGTATATCCTTCTCGCCTTTTCCTTGAGTGTTGAGCATCAGCCAGATCCCCTGGTAACTCCTTGCAGCGCCATTCTCCTCAGACCGTAATGATCCATTTGCGCTTCCGCACTGTTCACTCGCTCCCAGAGGACCATCACAACACCTAGCTTTTCATACATCACTTCACCACTAAGTGGTGTAAAATCGGCCAGTCTACCTGCTGCTCATTTCCCAACACACTGGCAATTAACTGGAGAGAATATCCAAAGGATGCTAACTACCCAGGATGTCTGAAGTGATGCTTGCCATTCTGCACAGAGCATACCTGTCTTAACCTTACTCGGCATGCTCTGTGAGTCATTTACAATCATGGCATATGTGTACAGCTGGTTTTCAAGCCAGCGGAATGCAGCAGTGACTGCATCCACCTCGATTTTCAAACTAGACATTGTGATATCATATGCCAGGCTTTGTTATACCAAGTGACGTCCATTCGCTATGAACCCACATACACTTCATCTGCCCGTCAACACAGAGCCATCTGTATAGATATATCACATCACTTGGGGAGGAATTGACACGAATCATTTGTTGAACTTATGATTCTGCAGCGCCAGCTGGCCAGTCCCGGCACTTACAACCCAAAGTGATTAGAACCCTACAGAAGTCTGAAACTTACTCGGACACTTTGACCCATTCCTCATATCACACAAATTTATCAAGCCTGCACACAAATCTGATTGTGTCTTCAGCTTGCTACCTCAAAGAACTTTTTCTTTTCAGTCTATGACCCTTAGCTCTACCCAGGGCTTCATTCAGAAGTTGCTTCTTGTCTGCAGCCCCTCTGAGTTATGACTTTGCTTCCAGATCCTCTGAGATATGACTTTGCTTGCAGAACATTGAGCCTATCTGCAATAGTAGGCAGTGCAAGGATATATCGCATACATACTACCGGGGTATTTCTTGTACATCATAGAATCACCCGCATGGCTTCATTCTGTATGTGTTCTAGATTCGTCTGCTAACTCTTTGATATGGTAAGCATTCCAAGTCCATTTTCTATCACCGACAGGATCACATGATGGAACATTGTAAACAGTATTCTTTGTTCCATGTCCATTGCCGCCATAATCTTGAGAGCATTGAGTCCGTTTTAGCATTTCAGTGCAGCTGCCTGCACATGGTCCCTGAAGGACATGCTTCTAGTGAAAATGATACCCAGGTACCTCAGTTTGCTTTCTCTTTTGATGTTACTGTTATTAACTGTGAGGCTTTGAACATTAGCTCTTACAATTCTATTGCCCAGAGAGCACCACAAAACAGCCGCCTTTTCTGAGTTTATGACAGCGCCCATTTCTGCACACAAGTCAGTCACTTTGTCTACAGTTGCCTGTAGCTCTTGGGCTTTCCGTTGCTTATCACTTCACTGCCTATATTCAAGAACATCATCAGCAAATGTCAATATCCTTCCAATACCTGGTGCTTCAATTTCTGCATTCTTGCTTGTATACACATTGAAAAGCACTAATGAAATTGCAGAACCCTGCGGTAGACCCAGGGCGATGTTACATGGTTCTGAGGTCCATGTACCCAGGCGAAGCGCAACCATACGTGAATGCAGGACAGCTGCTATCAAATTCACAGGCCAGGGACAAACTCCCTTTTCCATGAGTGCAGATAGCAAAATACCATATCTGACTGTTGAAGGCATCCTCAAGTTCAAATGCTGCCACAACTGTCTTGGAGGGAAGGAGAGGCAGAGGGAAACCGAGAGAAAAGATGTTGGACAGTTTGACATCATGACATGGAGGATCATCTGTGTCGGAGGTTGATTGATCTTTAAGAAAAAGTAGGAGTGAGACAGGGCTACATTCTGTCTCCATTATTTTTCAGAATAAATGCTGAAAATATGAAATGCAATTAGTGATGAGGTCTGTGACAGCTTTGATCCAGACATAATTGGAGGTAAACAGATTCCAAAACTCAAATAAGCAGTTGATTTGTTTTGCTTTCTAACAGTGTACAGTGCTTAGAAGAATTAATTCTGACCATCAGATGCCACAATAAAGGAGTGAATATTTTTCTGAATATGAAAGGGAAAAAAATTATGTCCACAGTAAATACAACACCACATTTTAATATTGATAATGAGGAAAGCAAAAATCACAGATTTGGCGGATCTAGGCTTAGTTGTGAACAACAATGGTGATGACACAAATGCAGTCAGAAGACTTGCTTTAAGCAGTTCACAGATAAATTCAACAGCATGAAGAACCTATGGCACAGCACCCGCAAACAAGTTAAAGTAAAATGTTGGGATGATGTATCTTTCCCATGGCAACTTATGGATGCATGTCAAGGACTTTTACTCATTCATTGTAGGCAAAATCAGAGCTTTTAAAATGAAATGTTACACATTTCACTTAAGCCATTACAACTGGCAAAAGACGATTACCATATAATGGACAGACCAGAACAAGTCTATGCCTTAGAACAAGACACAATTGACTTTGCAGCCACATGTACATCTTAGACTGGCAAATCAGCCATTTGTACAAGTGGATTAGCACCTGAGACTACATATCACATCCTCCAAGACTGATTGAATTACAACAAACAGTGCAGTTCATACTAGAGACATCAATCAGGTGCTGCATCTCTACAGTGAAAGTTGGCTGCAATGGATCTCCAACACCTCGGTCTCTTGTCCTGGTTGTACACTGTCTCAGACTGCTGCCTGTCCATCTCTTTACTTGTATCGTTGCCTACTTCTAGCTCTTTTGCATTAGACCTCTTCTTCCAGTATGGTTTTTAAAAGTATGTTATGTCTTTTAATGTGGCTAAAGTATTTCAATTGTCTCTTATTTTATTTCTTTTAGTAATTCTGAATTTGTAGCCTTTCCAGAACCTCTGTATTGGACTGTTTTTGATTCTATGAAATATGACCTTTTCTTCTGTATACCCACATCTCCAGAGACTCAGCTCGATTTTCTAGTTGCTTGTTCCTTGTCCAAGTTTCTGCACCATACAGCAGGACTGGATATACATAACATTTGACAATTCTTATATTTAGTATGTTAAGAGTCACAATCGCCAGGGCGTACTCAGTTACAGAAACAATCAGACTGTGGTATAAGAAAAATAGGTGACAATGCTCACAGTTTGTCACAGCCATAATTCTTAGTGCCGTCAAACCTCCCTTTGCTTTCATTATCATGTAGTTCTCATGCTCATAAAAGCGAGATTACTCTCAAAACACACTCCTAAATACTTAATTAAAAGAGTTCTCTCCAAGATTTCTGAATACAGACTCACATTATGTGTTAGTGTGTTTATATTATGTTTATTCCACAAAAACCATGTCACAGTTGACTTTTACACATTGATGACGGTTCCGGCTTCATCGCACCACCTGCTTATGTAATCAAGTTCTGTCTGAAGGCCCTTGGCAACGTGTTTCTGGTCTCTACCTTGACGGTACACCAAAACATCATCAGCATACGATCTGATCACCTGTGATTCTCATGGTGAAAATTTTGAAAAGTATTGGGGATAAAGGTGAACCTTGCGGCAGTCCGGGGTGTATGGTTATTGGTTCAGATGCCCAACTACAACATTTAACTCTTCCAGACTGATGTACCGCTTCTGTGGTAATTTGCTAATCTGCCACTAAACTGCTGTACCTCGTTGTTGGTAATTTGTGTACTACGTGAAAACAATGCGTCACAAACTAAAAAATAACTAGCCAATCCTGGTCAGACCCCGTGGATAGTCATTATGTGTTTGGATTTACTTTGTGTGGTTGAATGTGAAAAATTTATGAAAATTCACAAAAACGAGCAGCTGATGAACCAAGCATTTCAACAGGAAAGTGAAGTAGGTCTAGGCTTTTCACAGGTGATCGATACTTTGGTTAATTCAGACCAAATTCAGGAGTCAGAATTTCATGAAGAATATGTTCCCAGTTCAAGTGACATAGTCAGTGAGAGCTCAAGTGATGAGAATCTTGAAAATTATAAATTTAAAACTAGATCAATAGTAATACAAGGGGGTGGGTCCCTCAAACAGCATCATCCAGTGCTCACTTTATAAAACAAGGCTGATCCTGCTGGGTGGATTGGCACACAAAGGTGGAATAGTGGTGCTAGATGAAAGGTAAACCTATTTTCTACAATGTCTCCAAGTTTCATCTTATTCTAACCACTTGTTTGCATGTAACTAATATTTTTGTATATCATGTTGATTTTTTCGTGTTAATGCCCAGAAGCTCAGGTTATAGGGACAGTTAGGTTCAGGGCCTCAGGTCTGGTAGGGTTAAGCACCACCTTCCGCTCAAAGAGACCCGATCAGATCCAATAAATGAGAATCGGGCTGAGACTGGAATCAAGAAGCTGACTGGTCAAATGGTACCTTGTTATATGCATCCTCAAGATCAATTGCAGCAGCACAGGTTTCCATCCGCAAGTGGTATTTCCCTTAAACATCATATGCAAAGATCGCTTGCATTCCCCCAGAACTCTCTGTTTGGGTGATATTCTCCAAGGGTGGGTGGAACGAGGCCTAACTGCTCAAGATGGCTTGATATTTTATTGGTAGCTATTTTTTCCAACAGCTTGCGGATTGTATTCTGCATTGTGATTATACAGTAGCCCTGTATTGTTGTATGGTCTTTACTAGGCTTTGGCAAAGATATCAGATAACTATGCAGCCACTCTTCATCTGCTGTTGTAGATGTTTGCCAGTTCTTGCAACTCTTTATCAGACAGATGAGAAATATCTCCATAGCAGATGCCACCTGGACCCAGTGCACTGTTTTTTTTTGCCTGTCTTAACACAGCCCTGATTTCACCCACAGGCACACAATCTTTTTACATCATGTTGTGGGCATTACAAATAGCTGAAACATGTGTTCTGACAACTTGGCGAATTATTATGTCGTTTTGATCACTCTGCTCAAAGTAGTTAGCGAGCAGAGCTCTTTTGCAGGTCAGTTTTGTGTCAAGGGAGGTCACCACTCTGTAAGTCTGTAATGCACTTGCTTTAAGGTGCCCTTTTTATGCTTCTCTGCTAGCGCCAGAACAATTTTAGTTAACTGTCTTTGCACATCATCATGCTGAACTCCGTCCACTTCTAATGTTTAGCAATTTTAGCCAGAGGTTTGAAACAGGCAGTCTTTTCATCTATGATGTGTTTCAACTAGGGCTGTACCGAATAGGGATTTTCACTCTTTGACCAAATACGAATAATGGGGCCAACTATTCGGCCGAATATGAATACAAATAGTGTATATTATATAAAATATAAAAAAAAAAAACATTCATAATGTCAAATGTATGCTGAACATTTACTTCACATAAAGTAGCACAGAATGAATAGTCATCTTCTTTAGCATTCTGAGCCCTTGAGGTTTACTGCTGGCCTTATCTTCACAATTTGTGACACCAGTTGTTTGCAGGTCTGGCTGGAAATTATCTCTCAAACTTCTTTTTTGTCTGCCTCGTGGTCTACGCCCATTCCTCTTTCAGGTGTATACAGTTTTTACTTCTCTGTCATTCTTTCAATATGCCCCAACCATTTTAGTCAGTTAGCTCTCATGATGCCAGTGATCAATGGTGATTTAAACAGATTATGTGTTACGTTGTTGCTTCTCACTCTCCATTCCCCTCTATTAGCATCTTTGATTGGTCCAAAGATTTGTCATAAGAATGTTTTCGAAAACCTATAATAAGGACTCATCTCTTTTATTTGTGCTTCAAGTTTCAGAGCCATATAAAACGACTGTTCTTATCAACGTTTTATATATTTTGATCTTGGTGTTGCGAGACAGACACTTTGACTTTAGCAGTTGTTGAAGGACATAGTATACTTTATTTCTAGATTGTATTCTAGATTTTATTTCTTCTCTCAGCATGTTGGAGCAGTTGAAGTTTGCACCCGAGTACTTATATGTTCTGTTTGTTTGATTTTCATATTATCAACTTGGATGTGGCTGGAGTTTATATTCTTTCCATGTCTAGTTAGTATTCGTACAGAATAGTAAACATTTAAAAACATTTAATGTTTTGCATCCTTCAGTCAGTCTGTGGTAACTAATAACTAGGAATGAAAGAATCCTAAGTATTATAACTAGTAACTAAACTTGGAAATTGTCACTGACGGTTTAGTTAATGCAGGAAATCTGCATTAGCTTTCAACAAAACCAATCGTTCCATCTTGTCAGCATTAAGGCCGTGTATACAGAAGTGGGTGTAAGGTAACTACTATTCATATTTGGCCCGACCGCAACTATTTGGCCAAATACTGAATAGTCAATAGGTCCACTATTCAGCCCTGAAGCGAATACGAAACGAGTATTCGGTACAGCCCTAGTTTCAACAGCTGAATGTGGTCAGGTAGAGCAGCTCTGAATTTGTTCTCATGCTGCCACTGTTTGACTGCTTGCCTCTTATCTGCCCATGCTTTCTGCACCTCATCATTCCACAGAGGGGGAGAAAAGGGAAGAGTGAGGGGGAGGGGGTCATCCAGTATCTTCCTAAAGATGTGTGTTTCATGCTTCTTACGCCGGATTGAACTCAAGATGCCATGCCCTATAGTGTGGTACCTAAAGGTTTGTACCTTGGGCTTATGTTTCCTTGATCTGCCTTTCTCCACCAGTATGCATCAAGAATATGATCACTGTAATGTCGCACTAGGACACTCTATCGACATACGGACATGAAAGGAGGCGTTACCAATGTCAGGTCAATAGCACTCTCTTTGTCCTCTGGTTGTATCGCTAGTATGGTGACACAGACGTTGTTGATGCATACAAGGTTGGTGGATTCAAGCGCATCTTCAAGCTCCTCTACTTGAGTGTTGGATAAAGTATTTGCTCATAACATGCTGTTAGCATTAATTAATTTATCTTTCTTGATTAACAACAAATGTTATTAACATTTCACCTAGGTCACTTTGGAATAGCTACAACAACGTATTTCAGATTCACAAGATGGCTTGTGAAAATCAACTTTATGGTGTTCTTTCTGTTCCTGTGCTTTATATACATCCCACAGTGGACACATGGTTCGTTTTTCAGTGAAAACCATGGAACAAACGCCAGTGCTTCTGGACAATATTTTGACAAAACGCTTAAGTGTAGTTTTTCCTATACTGAGTATATTAAGAACATCTCAAGATATGAACAAGGCTGGGAGACATTTTTGGAAATTGCCAAAGGAACAGTAAGTATATGAATTTTGCAAATTTAATTTATTCTCATGTTCATTTGAAAGATCCTGAAAGTTTTTTTCTCTACAAATGTTTACAATCTAAAATAGAAATTTGTAAATGGCTTTTTCATTCTTGAGGAATAATTTGTTTTTGTCATGTGATAGATTAGTTCATGTGTTTATGTAGTGAAGTGTGACTAAATGAGGGCGGCTAAAAAGTTTTCAGTTTTTAACTCCAGAAGAAAGATATTTTCGTTATCATGTTGACAGGTGGTTAACTGAAAAATTATTTCTGTCAAGATAGTTGATGTGCTGTATATTTTGAGTTGCAACTGGCTTTTCACACAAACTAAATAGACAGCATGACACTGAAACTAGGTTTTTTTTAAACTGGTAACTATTAACGATAACAGACAAAATGTGCACATTAGTTTTACAAGGAGCCTTTATTGTTTCCATATTAATTAATATATGGTTTACAAAAAAATTTCTAGAATTGCAAATTGTTGTTTACCTTTGAGATAAATTACTTCTACTTCTTCTTCTTCAGCATTCCAAACCCTTAAAGTTATTGCTGCAGATATGACCCGCCTACATTCATATCTCTGATTGGCCTTCTCTTTCCAGTTGGTGATGCCAAGTGTATGTAGGTCTGTCTGGATATTATCTTTCCATTGTCTTCTTGATCTGCCTCATGGTCTACTACCATTCAGCTGCCTTGATAAATGACATTCTTTCAGTATGCTGCAGCCATTTCAGTCTATTAGCTCTCATGTGACCACTGATCAATGGGGATTTAAACAGATAATGAATTTCATTGTTGCTTCTCACTCCCCATTCCCCACTGTTTGCATCATTGATGAGTCCAAAGATTTGTTGTAAGACTGGTGTCGAAAATTTTAAATAAGGCTTCATATTTTTTTAGTTGCGCTTCAAGTTTCAAAGCCATAAAAAATAACTGGTTTTATGAATGTTTTATATATATTTTGATCTTGGTGTTTTGCCAGATAGAGACTGCTTTTGCAGATGCTTAAGGGATAAAATGCTAAAATTTAATTTAAAAAAAAACAAAAAAACATGCAGGATTTGAAACAAATAATGGCACACGCTTGGCCATTTCAAACATTTGAGAATCTCAAGTTAGACTGAGCAATTACCATCCACATTTCTTGTGACTGAAGATTTAGTTTACATTCTGCTTTGAACTACTAAACAGAGGATGCAACTCATTATCTCTCTCTCTCTCTCTCTCTCTCTCTCTCTCTCTCTCTCTCTCTATGTGTCTCTCCTGTCTCTATCTCCTAACTCTTTCCACCATTCTCTTTTCATCTCTCTCTCTCTCTCTCTCTCTCTCTCTCTCTCTCTCTCTCTCTCTCTCTCTCTCTCTCTCTCTCTCTCTCTCTCTCTCTCTCTCTCTCTCTCTCTCTCACATACACCTTCCCATCCAATATGTATGTATATATGTATGTGTGTATATGTGTGTGCATGTGTGTGTTGTTACATGTGTGTGTGTATGTATATATATATATGTGTGTGTGTATGTATATATATATGTGTGTCTATATGCATATATATATGTATATATGTGAATATATACATATATATATATATATACACACACATATGAATGTGTGTGTATATATGTAAATATAAAGGAGGATGGCCATAGCAATGATTAAACAGCATGAAAAGTCTATGGTTAAGCACCAGCAAGGAACTCAAAATAAAGAATCAGAGAGCATGCATCGTCCCTGTAGCAACATACAGATGTGAGTCGTGAACCATCTCCCAATCTTTAAGAACAAAAATGATATAGAAAGATTCTCAGAATACCATGGACAAAGAAGAGGAAAAATACTGACATTTAAAAAAATAAGTGATTAGTAAGGATTATTATCATCACAGGTGCTCGTCTCCTCCTCAAAATCTCTACAAGTGTAAAACGACCGATGACGCCTGCTCTGTGTTGGTTGATGAAACGTCTGTCCCCTTAGTGAAATGTTTATTTCTTGCAGCTCCAGGCTGCACCCCCATATCCATCAGCCTAAATATGGTTATGGAGTCATTCCCTTGGGCGTGCTCGTCGTCTTGGTAAGTTCTGAGCATGGCATTGATAACATCTCTTCTGTCCAGTACTGGACCAGCCAAAGCATCAGCAGTATCAACAAGATAAACTGCACACTCGTTCCCTTGAACACCGCATCACCTGGCACAAAGATGAAGGTTAGGGCAGGGATTCATGAAGTGCTTAGTGTTGTAATCCATTCTTGCCTGATAAAAAACAGCTTGGATTAATTTTAAGCATTTTTATTGAGTCGCTAAGTATGCATGTATATTTTGAACTCTTGTGTACCAAGCCATGCTAATGTCCTTGTTTTAAAAGATCTTAACATCAAGGAAGATCGGTTATTAAACAGTATCTTGTCTCAGGAGCTTAAATATTTTGGTTATATTTAGCGCTTTTGAGGATTGGAAAAAATAGTAGTGGAAGGCATGGTACTAGGAAGAAGGGGCAGGGGTCCACCAACACGAAGATCTGCACAGAATATAAGTGACTCCTTGAAAATGAAAGTACATGAGAAAGGAGAGCTAGTGAGAGACCGTGCATCTTTCAGGCAGACCATGATGAGAGCAGTGTTCTGCAAAGGACCTGCTACATGATGATGATTATATATATATGTGTGTGTGTGTGTGCGTGATGCGTGCGTGTATATATATATATATATATATATATATATATATATATATATATATATATATATATATATATATATATATATATATATATATTTATAAATGCACCTTTGTGCATTTCAGGGAATTCTGGAGAACACAATGCTTTTTTATGGTTTCTACACAAATTTGACATTTTGGATGCCTGGACAGCTACCCGAAACAAAGTACAATATGGGGCTGGCATATTTACTGACTGTTGGTTTAAGCTTCTTAGCTGTGTTCATAATGATTGTCAAAAAGTAAGCTGCTATTTGTTTAACTTTTCCTCATTATTAAATGACACACTGCCGTGTCACTGCATTACCTTACAAATATGTCTACACTTACAAAACAATATTTGACATACATATTCTAAATCTTAATTAATCTGCTTCTTCATCTTTAGCATTCCAAGCCCTTGAGGTTCATTGCTGCAGAAATCACCCGGCTCCATTCATCTCTCTGGTTGGCCTTCTCTTTCCATTTTGTTGACACCAAGTGTTTGTAGTCTGGATATTTATCTGTTTTAATTGTGCTCCAAAGTTTCAGAGCCATATAAAATGACTGGTCTTATCAACATATTTATATTATTTTGATCTTAGTATTGCAAGATATAGAATTTGACTTTAAAAAATGTTGAAGGGCATATTATACTTTTTTTTTTCCAGATTATTTTCTACATCGGTTTTTTTTCTTTCAACGTGTTGGAGCAGTTGAAGTTTGCATCCAAGTACTTATATGTTTCTGTTCATTTGATTTTCATATTATTGATTTGTATGTGGCTAGAGTTTACATCCCTTTCCCTGTCTTGTGTTAACTTTATTCTGTCTTATCTTGATTGATAACTTGTCACATTTTGTAAGCTGCTTCTTTTAAGTGTTTTTACATTCTCTAGTTTATTTTCTCTGATGTGAATGTCATCTTTATCTCCTCCTAGAGTACACTCTTCTTTCAGTTTCCTTATAATATTTCTTTAGGGCCAAGTTGAAAAGAAGTGGACAGAGCATCACCTTGCTTTAAACCATGTCATATTTGAAGAGGTCTGATTTTCTGCCTTTATATGTTACTATATTATAAATATCTTCCGTTCATAGTTTGGCCATGGTAATTAATTTCTTTGGGATTCCAAATTCAATAAACTGTGTCTATCATGTGCCTATATATACATCTCTTCTATATTTCCAGCATTGCTCTACTATTAGCCATAAGATGAATATCTGATCTGTCGATATATTCTGTCAGAAACCCGGCTGGTAGTCACCAAATATATATTCATTGTATGGTTTTAGCCTGTTTAGCAGTACCTCTGATAGTATACTTGTCTTCTTTATTCAGAATAATTAATAATAATGACTCTTTCTACACATTGGCTAATTTTTCAGTTCTTCCAAACTAGTTTGATTAATTCATATATTTTTTAATGTAATCCATGACCAGGTTCTTTTATAAGTTCAACAGCAATTCCATGAGCACTGGTTGCTTTATTTAATCTGTGTTCTGACATACAGTACTTCTTGAGAATCATGCTTATCAGTATTTGGCTCACATTTTTAGTATCTCTTCCTGTGGATAAGTATTTAGTGGAGTTTTCTCTGCCTACTTTTGCTTTGAAATCTCCTAAGACAATAAATATATCTCATTTTTGAGTTTTCTCTATGATATTTTCAAGGGGATCAGAGAAATTTTCTTTAATATCATCTTCTTTATCTTTATTATCTTTATTATTTCTTCTTTATTATGGCCTGGAGAGAATGAGGCACCTGGATGTAACCAGAGGGTCTCCAGCTCATTACACTCAGAGTAAAGGCAAGACGGACATGTAACCAGATTGTGACTGGTACCATCAGTACTAGAACTCTGCGCTAGCTGCTGAAGATGAGGACGGAGCACACATGGGAATGCCCTGAGTGCTGTGATGTCAATTCTTGACTCAACTCAACTGAACTCTTTATCTTCAGTGGGTGCATGTGCTTTAATAATCACTATATTGTTCAATTTTCTTTTTATTTGTAACTTACTGATCCTATCATTAACAGTTTTAAAATTTAAAATACTTTCCCAAAATTTTCTCTTGATGACAGATCCTGTCCCCTGTTCATGTTTTGAGTGTTTCCTTTAAATACTGTGATCATTCCATTTTCTCTTTGGTACCGTGTCCGGGCCATCTTATTTCTTAAATCACTGTTATAGACATTCTGAATCTCATAACTCACAAGTCAGTTCTACAGCTGCTTCAGCTGTATAAAGGATTCAAATATTCAATTTTCCAATTCTCAAAATCCTTTAACGTTCCAGTTTCATTGTCCATTTAAATTTATCCGAAATTAAGGCATAGATATCTGTTTCAGGACGAAATGAAGTTTTATGAAGGTGGGGATGTCGGCACCATGTTTCAACCCCCAAACTGGAGGACCAGGGTCTCTCTCTTTCTGTTCTCTACCCTTTGACCTTTCTGGATTGGGAGGCCCTGTTTAAAACTATGCTACTACTGGCATAGCTGTCAGGGTCATTGAGAAACACAAGTTCCCCCACCACAGCAATAAATGCTTGGCACTAATAATGCTTCTCACAGTCATTAGGGACACTGTTAAATAGTAATTTGTGAACTAAGATAAGAGAAATGTCTATATGCAGCTTTTGTTCTAAAGCCGCACTATTTATCAGTGCATATGATATATTTTCACATATGATATATTTTCACATAAGATATATTTTCACATATGATATATTTAAGAATGTAATTTTCAATTTTTCCATCCATTTTGTGTTTTCCCATTAAATGTACGAGTTGTTCTAATTTTTTTTAAACCCTTGGGTCAACTAATGGTCTGGACAATGCCTTAACTAATGGACAATATTGAATACAGCTCATCCAGTGATACCTTAGTTAGTTAGTTAGTTAGTTAGTTGGGTTATCCTCATTGCACTCCGGACATGTCCATAGGTGCTCAGATCCTCCCCTCAGTATGAACCCCAACGTCCGATGGCTAATAGTACCAGTTCTATGTTGATTAACAAGTCTTCTGGCGTAGCTGGTGTGCGTCTCGTTTTTTGCTGTGCCGATCTTAATTCCCAAGTCTGCCATTCTGGCGAGTGATGTGGATTCACTGCCACCAAAGTCCTCTATCCTTCCCATTTCTCTGAGGGCATTGATAATATCAGCATGATCCATAGGCTGACCGTCGGTAGTGATAGCGGATCCAGCCAACCTGTCAGCTCTTTCATTTCCATCGACGCCTGCGTGTCCCGGAACAAAAATAAAGGTGATACCTGACGGTCAGCACAAAGGATGTCATCAACTTGTTGAATTTTGTGTCAAGTAACTGTGGTAGACGAACGGTCATTACACTTTGCGTCAGCCATTGAGGATAGACCTACTTCAGCTTCGTCACAATGATGTATCCAGCATCAGACAGTGCTAACATCCACGACTGAATATCCGTAAACATTCTTCAAACATTCATGGATGTGATCGGGGGTCTCACCTTTGGCATTAAGTATATCTGTGACGTTACATGGTGCCACCTGCTACTGAAACAGGTTGCTATTTATGTACATTGCAGAAGAGCGTCTGAGAAATCCATCTAAATTTACAAAATGCTCACCGATACAGTTTTTACATAGATCAAAATTAGGAGGCATTGCTGTTTTGACTGTCCCAGTTACATACAACAATTGTTGTCACTAATACAGTGATAACATGTATCATCCTCACCTGCCCTTTTGTTACGTATAGACATTCATGTTTTACCATCTCACACGATCATCAGATTCTCAGATCTGGCCATTGCTCTTTCTTGCTCGGCCATATGGCCAAGCCATCCAGTTATTTATCCCTTTACCTTTCCCTCACCTTTTGGCCATTATTCTTGTCATTTGACATAATGTTGTTGAAACTGTTACAGAATTATATTGTCATATGCTAAATTAAACATACCAATCTTTAATTTAGGTAACTTAAACATGCTAGCAATCAATAAGTTATCCTTTAACAGTGCAGTCTACACACAGTTGACTATCAGTGGTATTGTTTTGATACTAACAGTTATTTATCTTAATAAACAATTGTGCAACAGTTTTTAAAAATTGCATTTCATTTAAAAGCTTATTCAAAATTCATTTGTTGATTCATTTCTTGATATAATTTTATGAAATTTATTTATGGCAGCTGTTTTAAACTGTCTTTTCTGTTGCATTTTAAAAATATTTTTGTCATGACGTTTATAATAAGTTAATGTTGTATATTTTTCTTTTAGAAAACTGTTTAGTTATTTTGTAGCAGCAGTATTTGACTTATTTTTGCAGTTCCAGTAGGACTATTGAGGAGACTGTGATGGACTTTGACAACAAAATGTTTCCATTATATACTAATGCAGTGTACAGCGGCTGGGACTACTGTATCAACAGTGATAAAATGGCCTTCATTAAGCAAAAGATCTTTTATAATGAAATTAAGGTATCATTTTGTAATTAAACATTCTGTGTTAGCAGTATTTGTTTTTACTGACTAGAATTTAAGGGTATTTTACTGTTTTTATTGTTCATTGTTCTTTACAAAATAATGCATCTCAGGCATTCCTGTAAGTGCTCTGAACTTCTCTTAAGCATGTTTCTTAGTGTGTTTGTGCTGACACTCCCATTCTGTATTTGTTGATGTAATGAGGAAAGCTCAAGCTCTTACGTGGTTTTCACATTGCTCTGTTCTGACTGATATACCCAAACTTGGCATAAGTCATAGAATCATAGACAAGAATTAGTATTGCCATGTCTGAGGTTTTCAGCACATAAATCTTGTATGGCATTAATTATGTCCTTTCAGTCAATTAATGGTTCACTTGGTGAATTAATCCTGTCTGATGTGGATCTTAGTTCTGTTGGAGACCATCTACTACATAGGTTCCTAAAGTTGATGGGGCACACTGTTAGCTTGACTTAATACACAGATATAGACACTGGCATGATGATTTATAGAGCTCTGACACCAGAACCATGGATGAGCTATCTAGACCTATCCACTACAGTACTCAGAGTCTGATGAAAAGTCTTCAAAAAGAGCAAATAAAGTCAGAGCAGCAGCTTTGCCATTGATTGCTCAGGAATCAGTATGCCCCTTATATTTGGACATGTGTTCACAAAAATGGTTTTGCTAAAGTGGGAAGCAGAAAAATCTACATTACACATACTAATTATATAAGAATCTTGCTCAACATCAGAGCCTAGGCAAAGCCTCCTTTCAGTTATGTAGACTCTCAATAGTTGGGTGGAACTTATAAATAAAATGCCTGATTAACAGACTCAGAATCATCCCTCCAAGTCATCTCATGCTCCAAACAGGACAGCATCGTCTTTGAAATAAGATATTAAACAGAAAAGTCAAAAAGAAAAGAAATTGTCTTGCAGTTGATACCAACCCACTGTTGTATCCTTGGAAATTGAAAGGTAGATAACTCTTAAAAGCGGCATAGAACATCATGCAGCCCCTCATCTTAGAGCTAAGAGTGGCAATGACACTCTTAGAACCATCTCTGAAGTTGAACTGGGGAGAAGAACCCTTCCCAAAATATGATCAGAACTTGACAGTGAAGTCAATGTAGGCTTGGGAGAAAAAAATTACAGTTTTTGCACACTGAAAGAAACCCTGCAAACTGAGAGCACATCTTCATTTAAATCAAACCTCTTACAAGTTCAAACACATGACGGCAATGTGTTCCACTGCTGGATGCCGCAGGGAAGTTAATGTTTGTTTTAGATACTGCGTAATTAATTGTTTGATATTTTGCAACCAGCAATACGTCACAGTCCTTAGCACACTTAGCAATATAGATAAACTATAAGAAAATATAATCCCGATATTGTTGTGCACTGGAATACACAAAGAACAGAGAGATCCAGGGCTGTACATATCTGATCCCTTGCGCAGTGAAGCACAGCAGCTGTTCTGTCTTGAGAGATTGGTTAATCCATTGATCAAGAAACCCCTTCTACAGTCAAGACCATTGTGCGTGACTGAAGAGGCACAAAACACAACGGATCTAGAGGAGACAACCTTGATTTAAAAAAAAACGAAACCTACGATTTACCCACGTGCCTATTTGCTGAATGACTGAAGGATATACATTTGTTAACGCGGAATGTCTGGTTAGCAGGTGGGGCGTCACCAGGCGTATGGACTTTAGGACATCCCCTGCCTCTTCCCTAGCAAGCATGCAATACTAGGGTGAACGTTTACTGTCTGCATTGAAAGAATACCTTCAACATATTTTGTACTTAATAATAAAAAGGATAATCGTCGGAGCTACGGAGTGCGTGCTCTGTGCTTGATACCATCTTTAGGTGGCAGCTGAGAGAGTGGGAAGAGGAGAAGACGAGGAAATGGAGAGAGAAGGTGGCATATAAATCAAAGAGCCAGGAGAGTCCAGCAAAAAACAGAACAGTCTGGGATTAAAGCATATTAGAGTGGGTTACTGGAATCGTTGTAGTGCCAAGCAGAGAGGACCTGTACTTAACAGACTGATTTATGACTTTGATATCATCATGTGACAGATGGGAGTAAGACAATCACTGAAGGCAAGAAGAAAGCAGAACATTTCAATCGTCATTTTGCCTCAGCTAACAGAGCAGGTAAGTTGTCAGAACGATAGAACACAGCTCTCTCAGTTAAAGAAACAAGAGAGAGCTCCAACAACCAGTGACTCCCTTTTTGAAGATGAATTTAGCATTGATGAATTAGAACAAGCCCTGAAGAAATTAAAACCTAGAAAATACCCAGGTTCAGATAAGATCCACAATGAAATGCTGTTACATCTTGGTCGGTCTGGGAGAGAAGTAGTTCACAGGCTTATTAATAAGACATGGAGATCAAGCAAACTTCCAAAGGCATGGAGAAATGCATATATTGTCCCCATTCTTAAAACCAAAAAAGCCTCCAGACGACCCCAAAAGCTACCGCCCGATATCCTCAACATCATGCTTGGGCAAAGTTGCAGAAAGAATGAAAACAGGCGCTTGTATTGGTTCCTAGAGAGTTCTGGTGTTCTATGCCATGATCAGGCAGTCTTCAGAACCAACAGTTGTACAGAAAACCAGCTGTTCAGACTGACACAAAGAATACATGACAGCTTCCAGAATAAGAAACACACAGTGGCCGTCTTTGTTGACCTCCAGCAGGCCTATGACAGAGTATGGAGAAAAGTTCTCCTGTTGAAGATGATGAGCATAGGAATACATGGCAGATTGTATAACTGGGTGAAATACTTTCTGACAGATAGAGCAATCCAGACTAAGATACACAACGCAATCTCTTCTAAAGAAGTCTTGGAGGATGGTTCCCCACAAGGCTCATCATTGAGCTGTACACTGTTTCTAATCTTTATCAATGACTTGCTAGAACAAATCAAGGCCTTAAAGGCCTTGTACGCTGATGACCTAGCAATATGGCAGAGTCATGAAAATGTGGAAAGTGGAGCCCAAAGACTAAATGGAGACCTTAGAAGACTGCATGAGTTCTGCCAAAGATGGAAACTCAAGGTTAACTATACAAAGATGGTTTACACAATCTTTACCAAAAGCCATCAAGTAGCAAGGAAGAATATTAACCTGAAGTTAGACAAACACCAAGTGATGAAAGAAGAGCATCATACATACCTTGGAGTCACACTTGACCGGCAGCTCAGCCTCAAGAACCATATTGAAAACGTAAGGAATAAGTCATTGAGGCGGTTACAGTTATTAAAGAGACTTGCAGGTACATCATGGGGATAAGACAAGGAAACTCTGAGGGGCTTATATCTTGGATATGTTCGCTCTGTGATAGAGTATAACAACTCGCTGCTTGCAACCTTCTCCAAGACAAACCTAGAGACTCTTGACAGAGTACAAAATAATGACCTCCGATTAATCAACGGAGCTATACGGTCTACTCCAACTGCTGCATGTGAAATCCATACAAATATGGAACCCCTCAGGTTGCGGAGAAAAAAGCCACTTTAGAAATTTTTGAAAGATACGTTAGAATGAATCGTAACCATCCTAATAGACACCTTGTAGAAAACTGGGAATACAAACAAAGAATAAAGCATAAATCGGTTTTACACTGTGTTCATGAAATTCAGGACAGATACCACCTCCCAGAAAGACGTCAAGGATTACAGAATGTTGCAAGAAAACTACAACCACATGCTCGCTTTAAATCTCCAGAAGTCCTAATTAAATTGGTAGGCTAGGAAACCAAACAGTCCGACCCAATCGCTCTTATGAACTCATCACTAAAGACCGTTGATTCTTACCCCCAAGAATGGATACATGTTTATACTGATGGATCTGCATTTGAAGCTACCATTAAAGCGGTTACGGAATCTACTTAGGTTATCCTGATGGATCTGTTGAAGAGATTTTTGATGCATGCGGGGAATTCTGCTTAAATTATGAAGCCGAAATAATTGCCCTGGAAACAGCAGTATACCACCTAAAGACTGTAATGGAAGTTTATCCTTCAAAGGCCCAAAATATTGTCATCTTCACAGATTCAATGTCTGCCCTTCAAGCTCTGGAGGGCAGTGAACCCTGCAGAACTGACATAGCCAAATAATCCTGGATGCTGATCAGCTTCTTACCACATACAACATCAGAATAGTGATGCAGTGGACTCCTGGCCACTTCGGCACACCAGGTAATGACAGAGCTGACAGACTGGCAAAGAAAGGAGCAACACAAGAACAACCACCTACAGCGACAACCCTACAGACAGCAAAAACAATAATAGGAGCTATAAACAAAGAGGCTTGGTTGAACAGATGGGCCATGGGAGACACTGGAAGAGAGGTTTATAGACATATGGCTGGCCCAGATCCTAATGACAGCATTAACCATCTAACCAGAAGGGACCAGGCCACCATCTTCAGACTTAGAACAGAACATACTCCACTCAGTTGACATCTAAACAGAATACAGCCACAACACTCTCCCGAGTGCCAGCTATGTAACTACCCCTACAAAACTGTTGAACACCATCTCTTAGAGTGCCCAAAACTCAGCGAGACTTGAAGAATGCTACTTCCTCTGAGACCAGACAAGTGAAACCCCTTGTACGGCGGTAAAAAACAGCTTGTGAAAACACGCAAATTCCATTACATGGCATTGGGCCAAAGGGTGAAAGCTCATGTGCCGCTGGATTGATAACAACAACAACGACATATCATCATGTTGCATGAATTAAACATAGATAGATATAAGTGTCCTGGATAGTTATATAATTCCTACTGGACAGGGAAGGCATGGTCAATGTCTGCTGGTGAAGAATGGGGTAAAACATGTGGTTATTGACCTTAGCCAGTGGAATCAAGTACACTACAGGTCCAGGGCGTACAGATAGATTATGGGGGCACAACCTGGAATATAGTAAATTTTTACACTTCGGTTGACTCTCTTTTCACAAAGAAACATTAGGACTGGCTCAAAGAATTGGAGGAAATCCCTGGTAATAGGCTTCTCATTTGTGGGGATTTCAGTGCGCGGAACAGATCATGGGACAGTACTGGAAAAAATAGACAAGGAAATGCTTTAGCAGAGGCTATGGTGGACGTAGACGCAGTCTGTAAAAACGACAGCAGGTCACTGGAATGGCAAAGAAACCTGGTGATGCAGCCACGGCCATTGATTTGGCGTTTGTTAGTCAGCAGTGCTGGACACAAAATGGAGTGTCCTAGGCGATCATGGGAGTGACCATATGCCATGCTCAGTCTTAGTTTCTAAAGCTAACAAGGTCAGGGCTGTGAGAACGTTCAGGACTTTCAAGTATGAGAGGACCAGTACCCTTCTTGGACGCCTTCAACAGAAGGTATGCAGTAGAACTACCACCTCTGCTTTTGTGCAGTTTCCATGGACCCAAGAAATAGAACAGGCATGGAGAGCAGCTGTTAAACAATTACAGAAAGTGCAAAAGACACCTCACAGTTACAAGAGGATGGAGAGAAGCTAGAAAAAGTTAGAAAAGTAAAAGTAGAAAAGTTCAAGCATTGTGCAGCAGATGTAAGAAAGGCTAAATGGGAACATTAGAGGGGATAAATCACTGAGTAGGTTTGGGAAACTGCACATACAGATGCAAAGGAAGGATCAGCCTATCACAACTGGGCTTATATACACTGATAATGGTATGCCAATGACAACAGACAAAGAGAAAGTGGAAGCATTTTTGAAAAGATATAGCCCAAACTGATCATAATGATAGGGAGCTTAGAAATTCAGTTAATCTATCTAATACTGTAAATGATAATTATTTTCAGGATATTATTATGGTGGATGATATAAAATATGTATTGCAGAAAGTAAAAGACACTGCACCAGGGCCAGACGGAGTGAGGTATGCCCACATGAAGAGCTTGAGTGATGAAGACTTGAGATGGCATTTCACTTTAACCAGAGCATCAGAACATGAAGAGCTTGAGTGATGAAGACTTGAGATGGCATTTCACTTTAACCAGAGCATCAGAACAGCATCAGTATCCCAGGATTGGGTACGCAGCTACCTGATTCCCCCATCCAAAACCAGGCAAAGATCATCCAGACTCAGCGGTTTCAGGATTATCACCCTTCAGAATACTTTTGGCAGGGTGCTGGAGAGGATTATTGTTAAATTACAACAGTTTTTGGAAAGGGAAGAGCTGCTGCCAAAAAGTATGGGTAGTTACCAGCCACAGAAAGATGCATGGTCTAATGCAGCTACTTTTGCTTTTGATGTTAATGAAGGGTCCAGAACAGACAGGAGAGGGTTGTGGCAGCACTTGATCTTGAAGATGTCTACAATAGAGTCAGATATGATATTTTTATATCTGCACTCATGGAGAAGGGGGTTTGTCCCTGGCTGGTGAACTGGATAGCAGCTGTCCTCCATTCAGGTATGATTGCCCTTCACCTGGGTACGTGGACCTCAGAACCATATAATATAACCCCGGAACTACCCCAGTGTTCTGCAATTTCACTGGTGCTCTTTAATATGTATACAAGCAAGAATTCAAAACTTGAAGCACCAGGTTTTGGAAGGATATTGACATTTGCTGATGATGTTCTTGCATATAAGCAAGGGTATGACAGATAACAGATAGCCTAAAAGCTGCAGGCAACTGTAGGCAAAGTGACTGACTGGTGTGCAGAAATGGGTGCTGTCATCAACTCAGCAAAGGCGGCTATTTTATGGTGCTCTTTGGACAATAAAATTTAAAGAGCTAATGTTCCAAGCCTCACAAATAATAAAACTAACATCAAAATATAAATTTGAGCAAGGAGAGGAGTGGGTCAAGGTGTCGAACAGGTTTCAGAATTGTGTAGGGTTCTAATCACTTTAGGTCGTTAGTGCAGAGACTGGCCAGCTGGTGCTGCAGAGTCAGAAATTCAACAAATGATTCATGATAATACCCACCCAGGGGATATGATTATCTATATAGATGGCCCTGTGTTGAGGGGCAGATGAAGTTCATTGGTGCTCATAGCACATTCGAATGGACGTCGCTAAGTGCAGCAAAGCATTGCATATGAACCACAACGTCTAGTTTGAGAATCGAAGTGGAGGCAGTCTCTGCTGCGTTCCGCTGGCTTGAAAATCAGCTGTACACACATGCCGTGATTGAAACTAACTTACAGAGCATGCTTCGTGCAGAGTGGCAAGCTTCACTACAGAGGTCCTGAGTAGTTAGCATTCTTTGGATATTTTTTCCAGGTAATGCCGGTGTGTTGGAAATGAGCAGGTAGATAGACTGGCTGGCTCTACACCATTTGGTGGTGAATTGATGTATGACAAGCTAGATATTGTGCGGAAGCACTGATAGATCATTACGGTCTGAGGAGAATAGCGCTGCGAGGAGTTACCAGGGGATGTGGCCGACACTCAAAACTCAGAGGAAGGATGAGACGGATATACAATCAGACAGCTACTGGTGCTATTGTAATAATAACTCTCTGTTTGCTGCTGAAGATGGGGATAGAGCACTTAAAGGAGTGTCCTGAGTGCTGTGGTGTTTATTCTTAATTCAACTTTCAACATTCAAGAAATCTATTAAGCCAGATTTCATTTATTGAGCCTGTCATGACACCTTATGGGTTGGGGTTCATGATATAGCAATTACCATTGTCACAGAACTGTGAAGAAACATGAAGGAAGATAGATGTGGCTAGTTCCAGCCATAAAAGATAAATATAGCATATGTAATCCAGTTATTAGTTGGCATTAATCATTAGATAAAGTCGGGTTATTTTATGGATAGTGATGTAGGGATGATAGTGTAATAAAGTGAATAGTGACAGAATATTCTTTTCTGGATACATGCTATTTAACTATGTGGACTGTGAAAACATTCAGTAGGTTTTTCTTGTTTTCATCTGATGGTAAATTGCAGTGTTCATTTACTCGAGTGTTTCAACAATGAACTATGCCACAGCACTCATAATTTCTGGGTAATAATTAAGTGCAGGGAGTCAGAGGAGACTGTGAACAAGTAAAGACTTTTATACTCATTATCTTTGATCTTGCCATCAACCTATCACACCCTGACAACTTGAGATCTTAGACATCTCATCAACAACAGTTCTATGTCAGTTCATGTCTTCCTTGTCTCCTTCCTTATATTTTTCCAGTTTTTACAATATGTTAGAGTTTTTTTTTCTCTAAAGTGGTCACAAGTGTTGAATCCTCTTTCTAACTGTTGTGAAAGTTATCTTCCTGTCTCAGCTTCTCTTAACACAATCACATTGCTCATTTTGAATGTCCTGAATTATCACTCACTTGCCAAGTGTACAGCATTCACAGCCATGTGTCAAGCTGGTTCTCTTCTTTTACTGTCCTAGGGTAGGGATGTCTCCCTTAAAAATGTTCCTCATGTTATAAACTGCAGATGTGGCTTTTCTGGATTGTCCTTTATTTCTGTAATGCACCTCCCATCTGCCTTTTTTCATATCTTGAAACACATAGCTATCTGGCTTACATCCCAGCATGTTAGCATTAAACAAATGTAACCAACCTCATTAAACACACTGTAACCAACCTCATTAAACACACTGTAACCAACCTCATTAAACACACTGTAACCAACCTCATTAAACACACTGTAACCAACCTCATTAAACACACTGTAACCAACCTCATTAAACACACTGTAACCAACCTCATTAAACACACTGTAACCAACCTCATTAAACACACTGTAACCAACCTCATTAAACACACTGTAACCAACCTCATTAAACACACTGTAACCAACCTCATTATGTGTTTTCAATTAAAAATAAGTAAATTTACAAAACCATTAATAAAAAGAAACTGTTAAAATGCAATTAAATGTTTATAAACTTTCATTCAACTTCTTGTTTTCAATATTTTAGGCAAATCTGCATGAAGTTGAATTAAAGAGGCAAAGAGAAAACAGAACTGCAAAAGAAAGGGCAAAACTGTACTTGAAGAGAATTATGATAAACTTTGTAGTAGTTGTGTTGCTTGGAGGATCATTTTATGCAATATATGTTGCAACTGAGTATTTGTTAGAGGTAAGTAACTGTATTTTAGATGTCACTGAGAGTCTGCGAGCCCAAAGTTTGGGAGCATAAATCCACATTGAGCCTGAATTTTTTCAAAAACTACCTTGGCTCCAAGGTTGACCCAGGTTAAAAAAACAGCCTTACAGAAATTAACATCAATCTTAATAGTGCTCTTGACAGAGCTCATCGAGTGTTACATCTTCTCCTGACACTTCCCTGAGGTACAAGGTGGAAGAGAAGAAGAAGAAGAAGACTATGTATCCAGTATACCTAAGGGCATGGAAAAGGGTCATTTACATTACTTACATGTGTAATGGCATTTAAGGTGAATTTTAATGTATATAATAATAGTATAACAAGGATATTACAGAAATATTTCAAAAAAAAAAAAAATGTCTGCCCCTTGACATTTCAAAGAAGATATAAACAACAGTTTGCACAACTCATTTTTTGTTTCTGTCTTTTATCATTTTCTGCTTTGTGCCACTAGGCCTCGTTTAGCGCAAGTTTCCTTTAACTCTTTCAGGCACATTATTTTTGACAAATGTTGCTAATATTAATTTCCCTTTACAAAAATGACAGAGGGGATGTGTAAAATAAAGGCAGTGAAGAATGTAATATATTTCCAATCCCTTCAAAACTATGTATGTATTTTTTTTAAAAGAGGAATGAGTGTACATTTGAATCTGATGAAATGTATATGTTTAATTCTGTTATAGTTAGTATGAAAGAAGAATTCAGTAGGTGTTAAGTTTACAGAGTCAAAATTTTACCAAAAAATTCTTTATTTACCATGGTTTTGCAGCCACAAGAGCAGTGAATATCCAAATTTGAAAATAACACTTTGAAGTTTGTTCAGTTTCCTAAAAAATTCCAGTTATGATAAGTTTCTGGGTTTAGCACTCAGAGGCTATAAGTTCTCACATAGTGCTGAACAAAATTTCAAAGAAAAAAGTGGCAGAAAATGGACCATTATGCCATTATACACACTTTATTTACTTTCTACAGTTATGTACAGACTGTAGCTGCAACGAATTCAGTGTAACTTGGCCTAGTATGGTAATGTCTGAAACAGTCCTTTGGATGCAGATGTGGGTGACTGTCACATCCTTGGAACATTCTCTGTGTCAAACTCATCAGAATTGCTAGATTCCCTAACAGCTGACGACTCAGCTGCCACTGGTGTAAATGTGCCATCCAAATCACTTTCTGAAAAATCTAAATTTTCATTATCGTTATCAGAATTTAAAAAACATCTGACTGAACAAATTCAAAGCTTCAGCTGCAGAAAGGCGCATTATGCCACCTGTACTTGTGGTTGGAACATTGGTATCCACCTCTAGTCGAATAGATAAGAAAATGCACTGAGAGAAGATTACCCAAGCAGTGAATGGGATCAGTTGATGCCCAGAATGTGTGAACAAGACTTGTATACAAAGAAAAATGGTAGAGTAACTTTCCCAGAATACTTAAATAGTAGTTCTGAAAATTAGAAACAAATATGGAGCCTGATGCAAATCAGTATGTATGAGACACACGATCAATGCAGACAGTGTTGTTTGGGCAAATCAGAATTTCTCAATCAACACACAAAGCATTTCTTATGCCTCAAAGAGTTAATTTAATTGTTAATTTTTTTTGTTTTGTTCTTTTGAGTTCATATTAATGAGAGTTCACTGCTGTAGAGAAGTAATACATGTTTTTAAGAGCACAGGCTTCAAGAAAGCAAATAATGTTGGCCATTTTTTATTTCTTTAAAGTGAAACTAAATGGAAAACAAAGTGTGTATCAGTAATAAATATCGAGTTGAGTGTATATCAGAAGTACACATGGTTTAAATGTGTTTGCAACCTTATCCAGTAAGGCTGGAGTCTTATTCACTACTACAGGATCAGAAAAGGATGTGGGGTATTCTGTGAAATCTACAGTGTGATTTGTTTCTACCACATAAGCTTCTGAATCTTCAAGCCCTAAATATTAATTTGTTTATGTCAGATCATCAACTGTAAAAGTACTGTCTTGTGTATGTATATATATTTTACTAATTAATTATAGTACATTGAAAATAACAGTTGGTTTGTCCTGAATTTTCCACAGAATGAAACAGAAAATCTCAACGAGGTGCTTCTGCTTCTGATAAGTTACTTGCCATCCATTGTGATCTCACTTTTGAATATAGTTGTTCCAGAAATATTCCTGGTACTGTCAAATTTGGAGGAATACACTCACAGTTTTGCTACTCATATAACCATTGTCAGGTAGATGTAGTTATTATTTTTCAACATACACATTGTTATATTTGAATATCTTAAAGAAATAATTTGAAATATTAACACACCAACATATGCACATATTATTTAATTGGAAGTGTCTCTTCAGTTGTGACTCTGAAAGTCAAAAGATACAAATGTTTTGATAATTCTCATCCTTACTATACAATAGGCTGGCCTCAGTCTTACTGTGACTGGAAAAAAAAAAGTAAAAGAAATTTGAAACTGGAGTACAGTGAAAGATCTCTGAACTGAATATGTGAAGTATGTATAGGTTTTTCCCCCATTTGTACTCAGCACCTTTACTGATATGTCCGAAGATGTTGAAGGTATCAAATGTCAGACCTGTGATACAATTGATCATAATAGTAGGAAAAATGCCTACAATTATATAGGTTGAATGTTGAATTAAGAATCATTATCACAGCACTCGGGGCACCGACATAAGTGCTCCATCTTCATCTTTAGCATCAGGCAAAGAGATAAAATTCTGATGATACCAGTCTGATTGTACATCCGTCTCGCTTTTTTTCCTGAGTGTCTAGGCAGATGGAAGGGAACCATTTATCTGTCCTTGTCCTGGAACAACACATGGCATATATATATATATATATATATATATATATATATATATATATATATATATATATATATATATATATATATATATATATATATATATATATATATATATATATATATATATATATATATGTATGTATATATACACATACACATGCCTATAGGTATATATACACCCATACCTATATATACCAATACCTATATATATATATATATATATATATATATATATATATATATATATATATATATATATATATATATATATATATATATATATATATATATATATATATATATATATATATATATATATATATATATATATATCCTTGTACCTACACAAAGAAGCCAAAAAATCAGATTCTTAGCTCTAAAGCTGGGCACATGGAACGTGAGAACCATGACACCTGGTATTCTGGACGATCTGCAGCATATGAACGATGTAAGGAAAACTGCAGTCATTAACAATGAACTGTCCCGACTGAACGTAGACATTGTTGCCCTACAGGAAACCCGGCTCTCCTCCTCAGGTAGCATCAAAGAGAAGGACTTCACATTCTTCTGGCAGGGAAAACCATCTTCGGAGCCCATGGAACAAGGCGTAGGCTTTGCGATTAGGAACCGATTGCTTGGAACTGCCACACCACCTACAGGAGGTTCAGAAAGGATCCTTAAAATCCAGGTCCAGACAAGAGCTGGATCAGTCACTCTGATAAGTGCCTATGCACCAACCCTGCCCTCTTCTCCCGATTCCAAGGACAAATTTTACGAGGAACTCAGTTCCACACTCATAATACAAAAATGAAGGTTTATGAGTCTTGTGTCCTGAGCACATTATTGTACGGCTGCGAATCATGGACTCTATGCTCCACAGGAAAAAAGACTGAATACCTTCCATATGCGCTGTCTGAGACGCATCCTTGGTATATTATGGCGAGACCTTGTCTCCAACGAATGTGTGCTCACAAGAGCAAAAATACCATCAATGTATTGTATACTGAAGCAAAGACGTATTCCAAAAGATCTCCTATATGGTGAATTGGTAACTGGGAATAGACCTACAGGAAGGCCAAAGCTGCGCTATAAAGATGTATGCAAACGTGACCTAATAGATACCAACATAGGCACAGAGACATGGGAAAAATCAGCTGCAGATCGACTACTATGGAGACAGAAAGTGAAAGACGGACTGTCACATTTTGAAAGAAACCGAACACAACGAGCTGTGGAGAGGAGACACCGGAGAGTAAAACTGCCTCACAGCGAGAGAGTATCTGCTTTTGTGTGTATCCTGTGTGGCAAAGACTGCCATTCTCGCATCGGACTTTACAGTCACAGCAGATGCTGTTCCCAAAGCCAGCGGCACATCTCCATAGTCCCCCGGGACGGATGCCATTACATACCTATTAGGAAGATTGGCTAATAAACAAGATCCTGTCTCGGAAGCTGCAATATTTTGGTCTATCAAGCACCACAGCAGATTTTAAAAAAATATAGCAGAAGGCATGGTACCAGAAAGAAGGGGCAGGGGCGACTAACATGGGGATGGGCACAGGATATAAGTGACTCCTTGAGTATGAAAGTGCATGAGTTGGGAGAGCTGGTGAGAGACCGAGTTTCTTTCAGGCAGACCGTGATGAGAGCGACGTTCTGCAAAAGACCTGCTACATGATGATGATGATATATATAGGTATTGGTGTGTGTATATATATATATATATATCTATATATATAAAAATCAATGTTTGTGTGTTTGTTTCACCCCTATAGACTCGGAAACTACTGAACCGATTTAGCTGAAATTTTCAGGATATGTTTGTTGTGATACCGGATTTTGAACCGTCGTGGTTTGAAATTCAACCTGTCACTGTTAGAGATAGGTGACCACAATTAATGCCAAAATATACGCAACTAATATTTATAACTTTAGTGATTTCTAATTATATCCACGTTAGTAATTGCGCATGCGCCGTATTTACCATTCGCCGGCGAGTTACGTGCAGCCAACACCTTCTCTAATACTAATACAGAGAGTAGGTCGTGGTACAGCAAACAAGACTATCTCTATATTTGCCACAATAACCATATTAAACACGATTTCTATTTTCTGTTTTTATTTCAAACAACCTTCGATTGGGGGGGTTGGGGGGGGGGGGGGGGGGGCAATCGAGGACTATCTCGACGTCGGGGGAGACAGTGACTGCGACATTAACTTCATTAACCGTGTTAGACACGTGCGATTTCTATTTCATTAATATATCTGGAGTATCTGTCTACGAGAAAACAATTGCCTGCGGTTTTGAATTGTGTTTTAATCGCGACACAGTTGTAGGGACACATATGTCTAATAGTTGTGTTCTCTTTTCGTTGTTCCCATTAAGTGGCTGCTTGGTCGAATGGTTAGAACACTGGGTTCAAGTGCGGTAGACCTGGGTTCGAATCCGCAGGAGTTAATTTTTTTTTTTTTACCCCGGACTAAAATAATATCCTCATCTGCTCTGTCGTGGTGACAGCACTAGCCATGTTGCCTTAATATAAAAAAAAAAAAAAAACCAGTAAATGGGTAAACCATTTGATAATTAAATTTGACCATTTCGCATACTTATGATTGCATTGTTAAACTTTCCGATTGCATGGTTACGCTGAAATTTTATAGATTTTCATTTATTTTCATTTAGATTTAGTTATTTCATCTGTGTTGGAATTTTAAGCTGTGCTGTTTACAATGGCGTTCATTTCCTAATTATGGTGTTTTTTTCCTGTGTTCATTTGCTTTTCAAGTGTTTTTTTTTTTCCTCCCAACTACTTCAATGTGGGAAAGAGTTGTCGGTGAATTTGGGGGGGGGGGGGGGGGGGGGCAAACTATTAACTGAGAGAGCTTTAAGTCACAGTAACTGCTTTACCCACTTAAAATAGCAGCAGCAGTAATAGTTGTGGTTGGGCTGTTACACCATAGTGCTCTCATGTGAAGACCGCTGGTAAGGTTATGGCGTTCTTCTGTCGGCAAGTGAAATTATACATCCCAACCTGACCAGTCTGTGGCGACAGCACTAGCCATGCGGAACAAATCTTCTGGCTCACGACTCTCTGTCTACTCCGATGGTAACACAGATAGCAGTGACATTATTTTAGTAGTTGTACTGGTACTTGAAGGATGATGTGGTAAATATTTCACTAGCCCTATTCACTACCTTTTACAATTCCTGCTCCTTATTTTAGTCCAGATGGACAGGGATGTCAATGTCAGTTACAGCAACAACAAAATATCGCCAGTTAGTGATTTTCAAATCCTTCGAAGAGGGAGAGAGCAGTAGTCGGTGGAAGAGGGGAGGGGGGTAATGACTTAAATTTAAGAGAACTTAAAGAGCTTTACACGTGATTTTTGAGTTCTCATTACCTAATTTGTTTATATTTTACTAACGCTACCTCCGCTTTTCTATTTTTTACGACTTACTTTGTTATTTACAAGTACAGTTGTAGCTTTACTTCCGTCTCCTATAAAAATACAAACAGCTTTAGCATGTGATAACCAAATAACCACTTTTGTAACCAGTTTTATTAGCTTTGGTTTAGCTGTTGCTCTGTACATCGCTAGCGTGAAGCGAAGACACATTTCTATGTTCTCTATTTTCCATGTAGTCAAATTACGCCACAGCAACGCGTGGCCGGGTACAGCTAGTATATATATATATATATATTTATATATATATATATATATATATTTATATATATATATATATATATATAGGTATATATATACCTTTAGTTATGTGTGTGTGTGTATAAACATTGATATATATATATATATATATATATATATATATATATATATATATATATATATATATATATATATATATATATATATATATATATGCCATGTGTCGTTCCAGGACAAGGAAATCTAAATGGTTTCCTTCCATCTGTGAGTTTGACTCTGGCTGTCACATCCTGTATATAATCCTTATCTGCCAAGACAGTGCTCTGTCGATCAGCGTTTGATACATCAGAGCATGACTTCTTTCTAGTATAGTGGATAGACGCTCGCCTGCGGATCAAAAGGTCATGGTTTCAAGTCCTGAGGGGGGCCAGATTTTTTTTCCCAAATGACCTTGGCTCCCAGGTCACCACAGCCATAAAGGGGTGCCAGGTACAGTCCTGGAAAGTAAAGGCAGCTGGTGTGATGTTGACCACATCACCCAGTGAGTGCCACTTGGTCTATCAAATATAGGTGTATATCTATATGCCCAATATGCCTGAAGGTGTGGAACAGGGTCCTTTACTCTACTTTACTTAATATGCATGGCCAGTCCAGCTGTTAGGCAAAAATCAGGATTTAAATACTTACTGAAGAATCACTAGTTAATCCATATCCCCCCTCCCTTTTTATTTGCTGGGCCCTGGAACATCCCACATGTTTTGCTGCCTGTAGTCATTGAGAGCCTGATTTGACTGAGATTCTGTAGGATGAGACCGGTACTTACCTACAGAGATCAACATGACACATAAATAAATGTACATGCTCCAAAGCCATCACAAGGCTGTCTGTCTCCTGCCTAACCCAATAGCTTCAGTGTCTGTGCTCCTGCTTGGTCACATAGCCCTAGCTGCTTTGGTGCATCCTAGACAGAGTATAATCCACAAATCTTTGAATGTTTGCAGTTGAAGCTGACAAGTAATGTTTTTGTGTGTGTGTGTATGTATGCCTGCATGTAAGGGAGAGAGAGATAGATAGAGAGAGAGAGAGAGAGAGAGACAGAGAAAGAGAGAGAGAGAGAGAGAGAGAGAGAGAGAGAGAGAGAGAGAGAGAGATTATAGCTATTTTTATTTTAAATAAATGAATAATTTTTTCTGTTGTTTTTTGTGTATGCGTGGATGGGGGGGGGGGGGGGGGGGGGGGGGGGGGGGGGGGGGGGGGGGGCTACCACATTAGCATAAATTTGGGTGGGGGGGGGGGGGTGGGGGGAGGGGGGGGGGGGGGGGGAGGGGGGGGGGGGGGGGGGGGGGGGGGGGGGGGGGTGGGGGGGGGGGGGGGGGGGGGGGGGGGGGGGAGGGAGGGGGGGGGGGGGGGGGGGGGGGGGGGGGGGGGGGGGGGGGGGGGGGGGGTGGGGGGGGGGGGGGGGGGGGGGGGCGGGAGGGGGGGGGGGGGGGGGGGGGGGGGGGGGGGGGGGGGGGGGGGGGGGGGGGAGGGGGGGGGGGGGGGGGGGGTTGTGTTTATTCATATTGTTTGACTTGTCTCTGTCCTATCCTTTTCAATTTCTTATGTTTGTTCTCTTAACTATGATATTCTAACACATTGGTGGCTATTTCTGACTGAATGTATGTAAAGTCCGTTTTCAGAATTTTTTGTAAACGACATATTCTAATTTCTAAAATATGTGTTTTTCTAACGTTTATTTAGGGCTGTCTTCCTGCGCCTAGCAAGTGTATGGGTGCTGATTGTGTCACTGTATTATAGATTGCTTAATAAGACAAATAAACTACCATTTCCATGTCCAGAAGAAGGTATTTTAAATGCCACCAACATACGCTGTTGTGGTAACACTCTGTGGGCTACTGGTACAGAACCTGTTAAGGTACGTTTTTTTTTTGTTTCTAGTACATTCTGTTTGTTGTGGGTTTATGGATAAAAAATAGTAATTCATATATATCTGTCATTTAATCAATACTTACTATAGCATCTGTTATTTGCTGTATTTTTAGTGTTATAATTACCTTATGCTTGTTTCTTTATAAAAACAGCAGAAATTCTTTTAATTGAATAGTATTTGTATTGTGTTTTTTACCAGATGCCTTTTAGTGAAATATCTTTTTAATTTTTTTTTAAATTCCTAATAACATCTTTTGAATGGGCTTTTGAATTGCTTATTCCAAAGATTCTTTCTTCTTTTGCCTTTTTGTCTCCCTCTGGAGATTGGCAACAACCAAATTTTGCCAAGCCCTGTGTAGTCTTGTTAAATATTGCAGCTAATATTTTCTAAAGGAAGAGGTAGCTGGACTCATGCCAGCCCTCTGTATGACATGCGTGGTAGGTTCTTCTTCTTCTTCATATTATAAAAGTAAAAAAAAAAAGTAAAGATCTCTTTTCACACCTTTGGGCGTATGGGTATATGTGAAAAGTGCCCATATTTTTACAGACCATCAGCACTAGATGGGTAATGTGTTCAGCATTATGCCAGCCATCTTTACTTCTCCAGGAAAGCTATCCTGGTACTGATTTTAAGCTGGGTCAACCTGCAATGCCCCATACCACAATAAAAATACACGCAGCCAGCAGTGCGTTTTGATAATGGTACGTTGGAATTACGAATCGGACTCGCTTCATATTATAGCATTATTAATTGTTGCTACTCTTAGGATTCTGGTAAAACACTAGTAATTCTGTTTATTAACCAGGCCTTAGTTTAAGCTAAACTCAGTTTTCTGTTTTACACTTTTTTTCTGTGATTTCTGAATCTATTTTCACTCATGACCTATTTTGCACCAAATGAAATGTTTTGAGACTCACCTCACTCTAAAATTAAACATATTGAATGATATGTAATCATTATTACTAATATCAAATTTACAAAAGCTGTGCAACTCCCAATCATTGTTTGCTATTCTTGCTTTGAGAAGCCATACTCTTAACAAATAACATATGCAGTCTAACAGATATTTCTACATATTCATAAATAAAAAAAATAAAAAAATACAAAGCTAATTATAATTAGCTAGTCAGTGAAAAAATAAAAGCCCTAACATTGATTTAGATGTACTCCAGGGTTATACCTGCTGTTTTGACTGCACTATTTCAAATCTGTGCTACCCATATAATGTTACATGCATATGCTGGGATTATGAAAGTATTTTTCCTTTGACAAAAATTTTTTTTATATTGACATTATCATTATTTCACATTCTACCGGAATATATCATCATGTAAATAAATTCTGCTGATAATGATCTTAACAGATCATCTTCTTTTTGAGTAAATTCATTCTGCCTTTTTTAGTGTTTATTATCTAACCATAAACTTTTTTTGTTTTTAAAGGTCATCTATTTTTCACTACTCAGCATTTTCATAGCCTTTCTTCTCTTGCAATTTTTAAGAATTCTTGTGTTTTAAAGATAAATTTGAGAGGATCTACTTCATTGCACTGGATTTATCCCATATGGCTTGGTCTCTCGCTGCCTAATAGCTAGCCGTCTGCCAAGAACCTTGCACAAAGCACTCCATAGCTCTGACAATGATCCCCAGGTATCTCAGTAAAAATTGTACCTATGAACTGAATGGCACAGCCATGAAATGAATCCAAAAGCCTTCAGAGCGCAAGGCGAACAGCTTAACCACTTCACCACGGAGACCCTCTCTTGTGTTTTATTCATGTGCACATGGAGGCCTTTTGTTGTTCATTTATAAATGTTTGTTTTTCTGATAGTGCTGGGAAAATTATGTTGGCAAAGAGTTTTACAAGCTTGGAATCTTTGATTTTATTTCTGTAACCTTGGTTATCATCTTGATCAAAGCTCCTCGCAGGTAACTTTTAAACATGCAAAAAGAATTGCTTTTATTGAGACATTACTAATGTATATATTTTTGTAAGCTTTTATTTTTTTAATTTACCCTTAACGTTAAAGCATTTATAACTCAAAAATGTACATTGTCGATCACCGAACAAGGCATGCAGTAATCCCCGACTACTGGAAATTAAATAAATAGTCCATGTTGCAAAGCCTCCAGAGAATCTTGTCCAGCCCCATCTATCTTAGAGCTTTACAGACACTCATAAGAAATTTATGAAAATGAAAAATCAGATAAAAATGACAGACCAGAGCATGACAGATAGAATCACACAAACAAGAATTTTCAGACTCAGAAAGGGATACTGTGATCTCAGAGTACATCTTCATCTGATGGGTCCCACTGACTTTGCTACATGCAAATCTGGTTCACAAAGCAAACCCCCACAGCATCTCTTATAAGATTTTCCTGATTTTTTTCAGGCAGTGTCTTAGACCTACTTTTACTGTCTAGGTTGTAGGTTCATTTGTGGAGCTGTTTTAGCACATGAGGCCGGCCTTGGTTGTACTTGACACTGGCCAGCCACAACTCTTAGCATGCACCACATTCTATCTCCACCTCCAGACCACACAAACATTGATGAGTCAGTGTTACCACTAAGGGCACATCATCACCCTCAGGGAGGGTTTCTATCCTCCTTCAGTCAGCAGTGGACTCTGGTAGCTGGAAAATACCTTTGTCTACTTTGATGAATGCATCCTCATCAGAGAATATCATGAGGGTTGTGGAGACAGCAGCTACAAAGATAGCCATTCACTTGGTCCTGTGAGGTTTCAATCTTGCTTGACTTTCTCAATCAACCATTCTAGATTAGTTATCATGTTTTTACCTATAGCTGGGTTATGCCCCACACTCTGTCAAAACAGTTAATCACAGAGTTATAGATACTCTTTTCTGTTCTTTCCCCTTCCCCAGTACTGAAATAATTACTTTAATTCATCATTTACTACTATAGAGTTCACGAAACCACATAATCATAATGTGCCTTTGTGATAAATGGTGATGTTTTGTCATGTTACACATGATCACCACAATCACACATAAGGTCAGTGCTCTTTTTTCACCTCATCCGTGTGGCTGTTTTTCAGTTCACCTTCTAGATTTTTTTTTCCATTAGTCTTAGCCTTTTGTTACCAAATTTTCCAGATTATTTCTTATCATAGCTGGTCCAAACAATATTTGTCTAATTTAATTTAACTAGTTTATGGTTTCATCTGTCTTAAGTAAAATCATTGCTTTTCTGGTCAACTTCAAGAAAGAATTTGGCCATTGCTCTCTTTTTGGCAATGACCACACTGGTATTCATTTTATAATATATCTAGATCTAATGTTGAATTCCGTAAATATCCTTTTGGGTTTGCTCCATCAGATAACTACTTAAGTTTGAATTAAGATTTCCTCTACAGCTTTGATGTCACAATATTCTCATTTGTTCATATCTTACACATGTCTCCAGTTATTTATGTTAATGCAGTATCCTGTTTCCTTGCTTCTTGCATGACATAGTGTAGTCTGTTCCACTCGATTTGCCACAACTACTGTTTCTACAATTACCTAATTCAAAGATCATGACAGAGAAGAAATCTGGCCCACAAAAGCAATCCTTCCAGAATAACTATGGGCAACTGGTTAATAGTTCAAGCACATGATCCTATATGTGACCACCACTAAATGAAAAAAAAAAAAAAAAAAAAGACAGAACATTATGTCTTTGCATGGATGATGGATATCATAGCACAATAATTTAATGTTCTGCTAGTATTTTGTAGCTTATCGCTTTGTTGTTTGACACTTATTTTTTCAGGGTAATTTATGAACACTTGAAAGGTAGATTTGGGATCATTGCAAAGATTGGCAGGTCAAAATTTGATCTACCTTTACAAGTTTTGGATATAGTGTATTCACAAACAGTGTGTTGGTAAGTTGCTGGATGACAGATACTGGATTCATTTTCTTTTTGATTGCAACAAGAGTGTCCTTTTGAGTGACAGAACAGGCATTATAGTTTGTATTATGAACTGAAACATTAAACACTTCCTTAAATAGATATTCATCATATCTTGAACACATTTTCATTTTCACATAGTTTATGATATTTTGTTAATACATTCTGTGTTGACATATTCAATTGAATGTGTGTCTATCATTTGTTGAGCTCCAGGTGAATCAGATATTTGTTGCTCTGTCTTCAACAGATCACTGAGATGTTGCCCACAAACTCCCTGCATTATCTGCAGTTAATTGGCTTAATCAATTTTTTGTCTTTATATATGTTTCTTGTATGACTACTCACTCTTGTGTCTTATGTTATTTCATGTTTCAAAATAGTTGAAATGATACAGCCATTTATTTTTCTCAAAAACAAATCTTCAGTTGTAAATGTTATTTCATGTCTAACATATGCCAATGAAAGTTGGAAAACCATTAAAGTCATGGAATTAAATACATATTTGAAATGAATATTTCTGAGGAAATTTAGGACATTCAAATGAAGTGAGTTTATTTAACAAGTAACGAAAGAAAGGGCAATATCAAAATAGTGATTGGTGACCTGACTGCTAAGACTGAATCAGATAATTCAAGTTATGAAGAGATTCTGAGAATACATTGACTAGGGTTGATTAGTGATTTTTGATTAGTAAGGTTAATCATCACAGCACTCCTGACAGATCCATAGGTGCTTCGATCTCCTGAAAAGCTCCACAAGTGTAAAACGACTGATGACTCCTGTTCTGTGTTGATTAATTAAACCTCTTGTCCCCTTGGTGAAATGTTCATTTCTCACTGCTCCAGGCTGCACCCCCATGTCCATCAGCATAGACTGGGATATGGAGTTATGCTCTTTGCTCGTTGTCAGGATAAGTGATAACATTACTTCTGTCCAGTACTGGACCAGCCATAACAACCGCAGTGTCAGCAAGATAATTTGCACACTTGTTCCCTTTAATACCTGCATGACCTGGCACAAAGATTAAGGTTAGGGCAGCCATTTGCAAAGTGCTCAGTGTTGCAATCCATTCTTGTCTCATGAAACCAGCTTGGATTTGTTAAAGCATGTTCATCGAGTTACTAAGTATGCACGCATGTGTGAACTCTTGAGTACCAAACCATGCTAATGCCCTTGTTACAGCCATACTTTACATTGTGAGGCTGCTATTTGTAAAAGCAAAGGTGCCATTCATCTCCTTGAGGGTTTTCCCCCTTGAGCTTACTGTGAATGCCCATGCACTTTGCTTGCCCCGAATTACTGATCCATCTGTGTAAACTACATCACCTTCATTTGTGTTTTTGTCAATCAGTGTTGTGACTAAATTGTCCACACTGCCAGGAATTTTATCTCTACAACTTCCATCAAGTGTTAAGTGGTCTGTAATGTTAATGTTTGGAGCAGGAGGCATGGGTATCCATTCAATTCCAAAATTAACGACCATAATGTCATGATGGCCAGTGCATATTCAGTGGTGGAGCATATTCAGTGGTGGAGAGAACTAATCCATGATATAACATTACAAGTAGCTGTTGCTCAAAGCTTGCAGCTCCCATAAATATTATTTTGGAGAGACCTTTCTTGGCTTTGGTTAAAATGTGGTCTACTTTTTTTTAAATGCTAAGCATTTGTCAAATGTTATACCTAAGGAATTTCATGGAATCAGATTTCTCAACATCAGCGCCATCTGTATTGGTGTCTTGGAAGGGTGATTATTTAACTCTTTGAGTCCAAATTGGTTTAGCATCACACACAAAAGGGGTGGAAAAGAGAGACATAAAATCAGGCATCATGTGTTAATTGGGCTTCGAGGCTGGAACCCATGAACCTTTGATGCATTCCTAGGGACTCAGAGAGTTAACAAGAACTGTGACTGTCCCTTTTGACTAGGGGTTTGAATGTAAATGGTGAAATATTCACAAATTTTTTTTTCAAGGAAACAGTATGTTATTGGCAGAAGCATTGTCCCACTCAAAATAATACTCCATGCAACATTAGAATCACCATACCATAAGATGATCAACCATATTATCATATCTAAATGAAGTAACAAATTTAGATCTGTATCCCTGTACTGTCGGCTCTGTGGCTAAGTCAATGCAAACGCTTCGTAATGCCGGGGTGCCAGGCTCCATCCCAGCTGCGGGCCATTCGCCTTGCGTTGGTTTCAACAGTGGTATCAGGGGGCCGACCGTCCAGAAAGCAATGGCAAACTCTGGACGTAAATTTGCCTAGAGAAACCACACAACAGCCAGGGGCTGCTGGGGTTGGTTCTGCAACGTCCTGTAAAGGATACGCCACTAACCTTTATCCCTGTACTGGAATGTATTTTGTGAAGGGTCCTTGGTAACAAGGAACAGAAACACAAGGCATAGATAACATCTTAAACTCTTTAAACTTTAAAGAAAGGAAAGGCATAAAGACAAAGAAAATGAGAATAAACCACCCAAACAGTAATCCTATTTTTTTTAAATGATATCCCACTGAAAGATGTAGAATAATTCACTTGTCTGGGCATTAATGAAGATAAAGATGGGGGAACTGATAGAGAAATCAAACTAATTCTAAATTTACAATATTTAACTCTTATGTGCAATCAGTACTGCAGTATGCAGCAGAAACATAGAGAACAACTAAAATAATTACAAAAAACTACAAACATTCATTAACTGGTGCTTGCACAGAACAGGGGGAGGTAAATGGTATAATAGAATCACTGATGTGGCGATTTGGAAGAGAACTAAACAAATTCCAGTAAATCAAGAAGTGCATTGGAATGGACTTGAAGAAAACTTGAGAACAATATAACTAGAAGGACTGAGCACTGGAACTGACAGAAGCATATAAATCAAGGCAGACCCCCACACCCACAATAAAGGAGGAATGGTACTAGAGAGTGAGGTTGAACAGATAGGGAGGATATGGGGTGAGCTGCATGCAATTGCAATGGACAGGATGACTTGGCGTGTGCTGGTTGAGGGTCTATGCTCCCTTATGCTATAAAGAGCTGCAGAAGAATTCACTTAGGCAGTCATATTAGAGAAATGCATGGACAAACAATAGTGTTAGCATTTACAAGAAAAAACATATGACAGTACTCATTCTGGTAGAGAGAAAACACAGTACAGGCACAAGTGGTTGTGAAAGGGAATCAATAAGTGTACTACAAAAACAAAGATGTCCAAGAACAAATTGTATGATGAATATTTATTAATAAAGGCTAGAGGTACTGGATTAGACTGCAAATGCAAAGTTGTATTATATTAATATTAGAAGTAATTGCAAAAATAAATAATCATCAGTCAGCAAGTTCTTGTCAAAACATTGCTTTATCACAACACACCTGAAAGTCTCTCTTTATCTAGCCAGCTCTCCAGCCCTATGTGCTTTCACAGCTAATGCATCTTAGTTTATGGTATCCACATTTGCAGAAGTGGGCCTCTGCCTTATTCTCCTGAAACTGTACTCTCCATCACTGTTTTGTTTTGGCCACCGTGGCAGCTATTTCTTCTCAATGTTAGAATCATGTAAGATGTCAGTGTTTTTTTTTATTTGGTCCATGGAATCCTATTAAATTTTCTTACCATTCAAATGCTCTGAATTTGTTCTTCAGTGATTGAATAAGAGCCCATGACACATTTATAAGTTGCCACAAGAAAGACAACCGCTCTCATAGTGTTTATTTAAACTCATAGGCAGTTGCTGTGCCATATGTTCTTCTATCTGTTTAATTTCAACATGATAACAAACGTTTTTGTTTTTGTTTTTTTAATTTGCCATAGTTGCTCACTGCTGAGCCTAGATATTCAAAAACAGTGACATTGTTGATTTCTTGTTATATATTTTAATATGTAGTTGATAGGCTGTATATTGTGGAAACTATTTTCAAACAAATTTAGTCTGTGCATTATTTCTAGTTTGCATCCTATAAAGTGCTCCAACATAAGAATTACAGTTATGTTCCATGTTTAATTCATTAAGTTAAATATTAAAAAAAGAGGAACGCTCATATATTTTTAATTAAATTTTGTCTGCAATAACTTGACTGAAAGCTTTGTTATGAAATCATAATGTCATTTTATGTCACAGTTCCGGTAAAAATGGACGCTAGGCACGGCCACTATTTTGAGCCGTTGCAAGTTTTTGCTTCTACCAGACAGTGGCTGTTGCATTTTTGCTCCATTTGTAGACTGAAAGGATATAGTTTCATCGCCCAGCTTTTGAGTTGAGTGCATGGCGTGACACTGTGAGCTACTGATTTCATTAGGAATGTTTTTCGACTAACCAATGTGGTGGTGTGAATTGTAAATTCAGAAAATGGCGCGCTGCCTGTTGTCTTAATATTGGTGGTGCCATTATGTGATTAAAGTTGATCGCATATGCAACTGCTTATCTTTTGGTAACTTCTGCTACCATCCATGATGAACTGAATTTCTAATGTCTGACTGTTTATGTTAGCACTTCTGATGGCTGCTGTATGCTTTTATTGCGTGTGGATACTAGTGCATATGCTGAGACAGCAGTCTGTCAATTTTTCCACAAGGGACTGTGATAAATATTCTGTGTGTTTTTCTTTGGCACAGGAGGGGAGCAACTATGGGGTGACCCGTTTGCTATAAAGCTGAAACTAAGATTACCAGATTACCAGATGTCACAGTTAACTGAATGAAAGAAAATTAGAATGTTATCGTATTTTTATATATGACATTAGCTAATCTTGAGTGGTCACAGCAGATGAAGAAATGTGCATTCCTTTTAAGATCCTATAAACAAGATATACTAATATCAGAGATACATACATGTTTGATGAATTACTTTTGAAAATATTGCTAGGGATTCATATTATTTTAAAAGCATTTACATATGTATTTAAATATATATTTCTGGGTCTCACATACTTCTTACATCTGTGCAGCCATGAAAAAACTAATAAACTTTTTAAAATCACATGATCAGTTTAGTAGAAAATACGTTTTGTTGAATAGTTAACTATCATGCTGTTTTGTCTTTTCATTTTTTCAACAGGATGGGAATGTTTTTTGTGCCTCTTCTTCCTGCGATAACTTTTGTCAAAGTTTTTTGCTTCTTTTTTGTGAAAAAGGTAGAGTATATAATGTATAACACATGAACAGTGCTGTGTTGATTGATTATCTTTTTTAAATGACTTCAGTGGCCAAGTGTGGCCTTTTTTAGGTATAATTTCCAAGAAATAAGAAAATGCTATATTCATATGTATGAACACATTTTTTCAGGTCACATGGCCATAAGTTGCAGCATGTGACAATTAACACTATCAGACTTGTGTTGATTAATAATTTATTTGAATCTAATCTCTGGTTACATCCCATTTCACTGTCAGCTCTTTTAGCTGCAGACAAGAAGCAGAAAAGGGTCACAGACTAAAAAGAGGAATGTCTTGGATGGCGCAAGAAGATGCAATTAGACATGTGCACATTCTTAACAGTACTGGAGAAGGAGAGAAGTGGGTCAGAGCGGCTGAGCAGCAATCAGACTTATATATGGGTAATCATGTTGGACTGAGAGTACAGGGACTGGTGAGCAGGCTCAGCAGAATCAGAAATTAAACAACTGATTCATAATTGCTACCCAAGTGATGTGATTGTGTATCTACACAGATGGCTCTGAGACAGAAGAAATGCATAGGGGTTTATAGCAAAAGCGAATGGAAGACCCTTACAGCAACAGAACCTGGCTTATGATACCACAACACCAGGTTTGGGAATGGAGGTGACAGTATTTAATTTAGCTTTCTGCTGACTTGAAAACCAGATGCACATGTGATTTTAACCTACTGCAGATCAAATTTCATCAACTGTGGCTTGATTTTTCTAGGTCTTATAGACGGCTAGGATTATTCATTTCTTCTACAATTTATTCCCTTAGCAGCAACCAGCATGCACCAAGCTTTCCTATACTTTACCATCTGATACAGCTCACTTGGTATCATCTACTCACTTTCTTATTCACCGTTCTCTTCTTATATTGTTTGGGTCTTTGTTTTTATTTCATTGGTCCTGTTGCTTCAAGAACAAAGGAACTTATACATTTTACTATTACCAGATTTTATAAGTGTGTTTCCTAACCAGCACCAGCATTTTTTCCTGACCTTATTATTCCCTGGAATTTGTTTAGCTGTCTCCAAATTCCTCACTTTAATGATTTTGTCTTCCATTTAATTGTTTCTATCATTTTTAGACACCTGTTAATACATATTAGGTGTTTCACTTGGGGTGGAACCCACTATTTTATTCGTAACTCGGACACTAATTCAGATAGGGCAATGACATTTTGAGTTGACTTAACCTCAGTAAATGCAAAGTCAGATAACATCAAAATGAACAATAGAGGCCTTGAAAGCAAACATCAGTGCAGCCATCCAAGCAATGACACCTGATGTACTGAGACAGACTTTCCACAGTATGAAACACTGCATGTGTTCCTAGGCCACAAACATCCTTTTACTACATCATCTCTTTTATAATCATATTTTTAACTGAAGAATGTCAACACCGTATGGTAATGAACATACCCAAGAAGATTTAAGTATGAATATGCACACTCAGCATCACCAGGACAATCCAAGGTTAGTAGACAACCTAGTTAAACTACAAGCACTGTATTACAAGGATGTTATTAACTATCTTTGCACAAAAGTAGAAGCTACATTGGAATAGACAAGTCTTGCATGCTACCATTTTTACAACAAAAGTCATGTCATCCAGTAAAACAAATTGAAGAAGTTTGTAAGCCTTGAAATTGTTTCAGAAACTTTTTCTGTTTTTGTTTCAGTCCTTGAATAATTCCACTATAATTCATTTCTTCATGAAATTAGATAACATTTTGTCTGGTATTTAAAAACACAGATAGTGCTCTGATAGTAGTTACTGATTATAATTGACAAAATGTTATCAGTAGTATGTTGTTCTGAGAACATCTTATGCAATACAGTCTTGCTACATAGATTGACTGTTGAATTCTGGACACTTAAAAACAAACCAAACAATGTCAGAACTTTAGAGATGTTGTTTTACAGAAGAATGCTTACAATTCCTTGGACAGCTAATAGAGGCTATCCTCAGAATAATGGTCATAAATTAAAGAGGCTAAGAAAATATCCTAACAGGGCCTCAGTTATGTGTAAACTGCTGACGTCTTTTCGGCGAATATGCTGTATACCGCAGGAAGCACCCCTCTGAATAACGGTCCCAAAAAATCGAGGTTGTCAACATACGCTAATAGGGCATCAATGATATGTAAATTATGATTTATTTCCGGCAGCTGTGACAGGCAGATCATCAACTGCGACACTGGGTGCTAGGTTTAACTTCTCCCCTGGGTCTTAGGTTTAACTTCTCCTCTGGGTCCTAGCTTTAACTTCTCCCCTGGGTCTTAGGTTTAACTTCTCCTCTGGGTCCTAGCTTTAAGATCTTCTCTGGGTCCTAGGTTTAACTTCTCCCCTTCGTCCTAGGTTTAACTATTCCCCTGGGTCCTAGGTTTAACTTCTCTGTTGGGTCCTAGGTTCAACTTCTCCCTTGGGTCCAGGGTTTAACTTTACCCCTGGGTCCTAGGTTTAACTTTCCCCCTGGGTCCTAGGTTTAACTTCTTCCCTGGGTCCTAGGTTTAACTTCTCCTCTGGGTCCTAGGTTTAACTTCTTCCCTGAGTCCTATGTTTAACTTCTCCCCTCAGTCCTAGGTTTAGGCATAGGGCAAGGAGTAGTGCAATTATGACACCGCCACCAGAATATGTCACAGTTGTCCAACCGCTACACTAACGATTGAAGAGTTATGGGCAGAACTTACGCGGACGCGACATTATCAAGGTGGCACTAGTCATGCATTGTTTACTGCATATTTAGCTGAGTTTCACTGGCGGCACAGTCACAAACATTGGGGCCCTGTTGGGGTATTTACTTAGCCTGAATAATTTAGGACCGTTATTCAAAATTGAGCCTTATTAGAAGTAATCCAGATGTTTTGAAAGAAAGGAAGCCCTTAAGATAACTTATCACAAATATCAGAAAAAGACAGTCATCAGTTTTCTGCTATGTTCTGAAAAGAAAGAAACTAGACATCTTATGACAACTGGAAAGATTTATGGCAAGGGAAGTAGAGGAAGAAAACATGCCAAAATTCTGAATGGTCTTTTGTCATGGCATAGAAGGGTGCTTCATGAATTGATTCATGCTGTTTGAGATTGCAAGTTGTGGAGTGGCACATTTCTCCATGCCAGTTGGCAAGGTGCTTGATGATGATGAATGTTCTGAGCCTGCTTGTATTCTTCTTCTTTTTTCGTCTCACCATTACCAGGTTGTAGCCCAGTGTCGTTGTTTTCGTTATTTGTCTTGCGCTTCTATGGTGGCTTGAGGGATGGATTTGTTCAATTTTTTTTGCAGGATTCATCTACACCATTTCACTGATGTTCCAAGTAGCCATCTTAACGTTGTTCTGTCCTTGTCCTTTAACATTGCCCGTCCGAAGTCTGCAAGAGTCTATCCTATAATCATTTAATGTTTCTTGAGCAGTAGCACTCAAATACACAAATGGTGGCATGCTAGGTCTGTCGCGTGGAAAAGGCAGGAAAAAATCTGACCTGGTTTGTGCCATCTCCTTACGGGCAAGCCATTGCCCCATTAGCCTAAAACCTTGCAGCTTCAGTTTTTCGGCGTGCACCATGAGGAGGTAGGGTTGACCTGGGTGCTCTATGGGTCATTGGCAGGCTACTTAAATGTCACTTTTCGGGTAAAGTAATGTTAATCTCTCCAAACAGAGTACCAGTTTCTTGGGCTGGTCGACTTTCCTGAAAATTACGGGCTGTGTCCCGCTCTGTCGTTTGCTTTCTGTTTTGTCTTGCATTTATGTTTTCATTCCAATAAAGAGAATGCCTGTGACATAGGTTGCAGCACTCTCTAGGGGGGTTGTGTTAGGGTCAGTTGCTCCATGTTTTTGGAGCGTTAAAAGCACTGGCTTGCTGAAATATACAACACACAATGTCAATGGTATCACGGAACACCCCTCTGACCTTGTGCGAAGGTCATGTGGCTCAGGAACAACCAATCAGAAGTGACTGGTGTGTTTTTAGGCAGAGCGTGGGAAGATTAATGATACGTGTTCACACTTTTCACCCCTCTGAAGAGAAGCTAGCCAACCTTTACACTGCTAGCTGCAGTTCCAAGTGCCTGAGCACATTCTTACACGCTTGTATTCTTGATGCCAAAATGAACAAATGAAATTCTAATAATCAGATCCTGAATTTGGGAACCAGTAAATCACATTTACTTCCTCCAGTTAATCAACTACTCGAACATACTAAGAGAATAAATACAATCTAGATTACAATATGGAAATAAAGTATACTATACCTTTCAACATCTGCTAAGGTCAAAGTCTCTGTCTCTTTTAACCAAGATCAAAATAAATAAAATGCTGATAAGACCAGTTGTTGTTTTTTTGGCTCTGAAAATTGCAGCACAACTAAACAAATCTTTAGACCCATTAACGATGCAAACAGCACGGAATGGAGAGTGAGAAGCAACACTGAAATTTATGTTTAAATCACAATTAATCACTGGCATCATGAGGGCTAATTGAAATAACTAGGGCATATTGAGAATATATGATAATAGAGAGGTAAAAACTGTGTACGTAACGGAGCTGAATGGTCGTAGATCATGAGGCAGACCAAGAAGATAATGGAGAGATATTATCCAGACGACCTTCAAACACTTGGCGTCACCAACTGGAAAGAGAAGGCCAGTCAGAGAGGTGAATAGAGGCAGGTGATGTCTGCAGCAATCAACATCAAGAGCTCAGAATTCTGAAGGTGAAGAATTACTGTTATGAATATATAACCTGAAATTGGAAATGGCACCTGAAGAGGAAGAAGAAACAGAAAAATCTTTGATGTAAACATGTGATGAGTTTAACTGAATATTTAATTAAAACATTTAATTTCAGTTTGAACTGAGTGTCTCAGAATCACCTAGAAATTCTTACAGAGCTTCACGTTCGTATTCCTTCTTCCAGACAGTTCTGCTGGTGTCTTTTATTGTCATTTCATGTTTTATGGGCTACATGATTGGA